GTACATCCGCCCCTGGTGTAGTTTAATTAAGTGATTTATTTTTGTAATTTAACCATTGCATAAAAGTAATAAACGGCACTTCAAAATCATATCAGGTGGAAATCTAAGTTGATCAACCATTGGATACACGTAATCAACAAAAGATGTGGGTATATTTTGGTAATTTAATTAAGTGATTTATTCAAGAAAGGATGAAAATTTTCATTGGTGTAAAAATTTATAAACTATTTATATTTTGAACAAAAAACATTATAATAAAATTAATTGGGCATGCGACTATTGACAAACCAAAATAAAAAATTTGGCTTCAGATTTATCTCTAATTATCAAATTTTATGGAATTTCTAAATTAGATTATTTTTTAATTTTTTTGGTAAAGTCCTAAATAAGATTAATTACTATAATATTTTTTTGTTTATTCTCAATATATGTAACAACAATGTTTTTATACTCTCATATGTTTTCTCACATTTTTCAAGCTGTGTCGTTAATTTCTAGAAAATATACACCATTGAATAGAACTGCAAAGCAGCCATAAGAAGCGAAGATCAAGACTCATTCCTTGAGTCTGATTGGCACCGGATCGATTTTATAAGCAGCAACTTCGACGGAAGAGTGATTGTCAGTTGGTGCTATAGTTTTATTTCCAGAAGAAAATTTAATTGTTGTCTTCTATTTTCAGGTAAACCAGATATAGTTATTTCCTACCATTGCTTAGATTTCCTCAAAAGCTAATTATTTTAATAAACGATTTTCTTATGAGGGCTATTTTTTTTAGTGGTTTTGAATAGTTGAAATAGTTTGTGCTATCAATTGGTAATATGTTATTTTCAATTTTAATTTTCATTTGCATTTGAAATTATTAAACTTTTTAAAGGATGCCTTCATCACCATGAGTGATAGATTACAAATCATCGCTCCGATTTTCACCTTATTTTTTCTCAAGTCAAATCTAGGAACGATAAACCTCAAACGTGAATTTCATGAAAAAACTAGAATAAATGAAATAAAGAAAAAACAATATTATCAAAAATATTTAATTGATTTGGAGACCGGTAGATCTAAGAGATTTAGTCGCTGGCCACGGTAATTAAATTGATTGTGCAGGAGGATGTTGATCTAATGAACCAGGGCTTGCACCAGAGGTTTTCATGGATGGAATGGGATGTAGTAAAAAATTTATAAAATCAATTAAAATTAATAATTGGAGTCTTATGCTATCACTAATAATCATTTGAATGCTCATAATATTTCTAAGTTTTGCAAAATTCTTTTAAGGTCGATAATAAACATAAATATAGAGTAATTATTTGATTTTAATAAATTTTCTTTCCTTTCAAAAATCTGATTTAATGTAATGATAGAAAGAATGATAGCAGAGTGCTCAGGGAGTAAGCCATTAGACAAACTACCATACCAAGATTATCTATATGAGCTAAATGTATGTGCAAATTCAATACATTGACATAAAATATATAGGATCAGTAGCACAGTCATAAACTTGATTTAACATCTTATTGCCTTCCTTTTCCTTTCTGCAAATATAAAGAACAAATTACCACAAATAAGAAATCACTGGATCTATCCATTTACATGCCTGATGATATCTTTTGCTTTTGAATCTTGGCTATCTTCTTTTTATCCTCCTCAACATCCTCCTTCACTTCGCTCATCCAGAACTCGTTTGTTTCTTTTCTATTCATCTTGAAGGCAATTCAATCTATAAAATCATTGTATTGGTATAGAAAAGAGTTTTCAATTATATTCTTCGAATTCCCGAAGTGGTAAACTTCAATGAATTATGTGATTAAAGTGTACTTTGATGCTAGAACTGCTAGTGGATAAAGTTGATTGGTCCAATTAATATTGGTCTATCCAAGTTTATTAAGTTAGACCATAAGCATCAATTAGTTACAAGTCCTAGCCCATTAAAAGTAAAAGTCTAGAAAAGATGATATTAGAAATTAGTAAGAAGATTCTTAAAAAATAACTAGAATGTGTAGAATTATGTATGAAAATATCTTGAAGAAAGATATAGATGTTCGAATAAAATATCTGGATATTTAGGTATTATAGAAGAATCTTGAGATTATCTAAAACATTCCATATACAAGTATAAATAGGGGTTAGTAACGTAAAGAGTGTAGAGAGAAGTTGTAGAATTACAAGTCAAAAGGCTTTCTTAATAGAAAGAATTTCGTTCACTACAAAATAATTGAGCTCTCTTTCTTAGAAAATCATCTTTTGTTTCATTTCCACTTTCTAAACCCATCACCAAAGAGGTCTCTTCCTTATTACCGAAAGGGTTCATTTGCTAACAGGAACATGATTGATAAGTTAGGGAGAACATATTTACTAGTAAAGAATTTGCAAAAAAACTTACATGTAAGTACCAAAATTGAATTATAGGAAAGCAAAAATTATGTCAATCAATTATAGATGTAAGTAAGACATATATGACATATGGCTTTTGTTATTACTAAAACAAATATTAGCATCCAAAACAATTTGTTAGGTTTCTTCCAAAATAACCACTTCCCAAGTTAAAGATAATTTCTCCTTTCCTCGCCCTTTTTTCTCACTCTTCCAATCTCTTTGAGTCCAGATTATTGCTTGATTGTTATGAATGGAACATGTCTTTTAAAAATAATTTCAAATAGATTTCAAGAACAAAAACGAAACATTTAGAGCAAAAATGCTTAAGTATGCCATCAATTAATATCTCAACATCTGATTGTTTGATTCAGCTTTTCTTTTCTCTACTCCACGGGCAAAAAGTATGACAAAAAGAACAAGGTACTTACTATAGGACCTTAAATCCTATGTAGCTTGAAACAGAAATCTGAAAAGGCTGGGCAACTCTATCTTCAATACACTTAAAGTTCCAGTTGATAGCTTCCATTCTTTACATCAATCTTTTCCAGGCATTGCTGGATTTGTCTTCAAAAGTTCAACATCCTCCTCATCACCGTTTCCTAGCACTCACATACTTCCTCCAGAAACTCTCTTCCGTTTTCTTTTTCTCACAGAACCCTTAGCACAATACTATCAAAGAACTAATCAAGAACCAAGGAGTCAAAGCTCATGTAAGTTCACAAACATGTCAATCACCGTACCCGAATCCCAAAGAACAAATTGTCACATAAATATATACCAATTTAGGAAAAGTTACACATTGAAAAATAACGTAGAAAGCCTACAAGTAAATGATCGTCAAAATATTGAAAACTGCTTATAGCGGTGAAAAAACATAATTCAAAGCTATCTAATATACTATCCATATTCCATGGTTAAATCATGAATAAATCAACACCATGAGAAAGCAAATAAGCACTGGATTGACATGTTTGCTTCTTGTTGCCTTTCTATGTTTTGTAGCAGCTATGAGCCTATGACAGTTGACAACTTTAATTATATGTATAATTACTAACCCATATCAACTTAACTTTAATTCCTTAAAATCATCTGATGACCAAGCATGAAAGATAAAAGAACATTGAGAAGAATAATAATTCCCATTGACACTCATAATGATCATCATATAAACTAAACATGTTAGTCAAACCAATGGAATTCATAGGTCTAACTGCAATCCTTCACATATAGGTAAAATTTCAATTTTGGAGGGAGACAAAATCTAGACCAAGTTGATAACGAAAAACTTAAATTCACAGTAAATAATGATTGAAATCAGGTAGATGTACAATGATAGCTGAAAACGTTTTGTTGACGGCCTAGTTCATCATCTTCAATTACATAGACACTCACAAATTAATGAGAGAAACCCTAAATAGATTATTCAAACACTCCACATATATACCTGAAGCTGTATCTAATGCATTTTGAGGAGGGCAGAAAATTTGGTAGAGCAAGCAGGAATGCTTGATTCTAATAGAGCAAAATTATCCTTTCGAACTGCAAAATAGTTTGTGCAAATCGTTCATCCTTAATTACCACATAAAAATATAAAAAATAAAAAATAAAACCAAAAATTGTGCTTGTGATGAAGCATAGGAAATCAATTGTTTTTCGCCCCTAAAACCATGAGTAACATAAATTGGAGGCTCGGATTCCGTTTGTAGTTTTTGTGGATTACTTCAGGATAACATTGAATTGTTGAATTGTTCTCCACATAAATTAATGTTGTTGGGTGACAAATCAGCTTGCTCACAATGCTAGCTGTAAAATGAATGAAACTATAGTTCACGTTCCAAAATCTTGGTTGTATTTAACGTACATAACAGGCAAAAATTCGTCGATCCCATTAAAATTTTAATAACGGGAAAAAAAAAATCCGGTGTTTAACATTTCGATGTTACCATACATGACTTTCTACTGTGATGTTTGTATGTATATCTTTAGAAGGGGTTCTTGGATTTACCAAAAAAAAAGAGGAAAAATCAGAATCCGCCATATTTATGAATAGTCCTTTCTGACATGAACAAAAAAAATAAACAAACAACAGTGAAAATACAAATTTTACCTGGAAACAAAATATTAAAATCTCTATTTTTCATTTATTTATTTATTTTTTGCTGGAATAAAAATCTCTTACTCATTTTTCATTTTTCCCTAATTTGGAAATTCCATGGAGTTGACTCGAACCCCCTCCGCCAAGACTTACCCAAAGTGTTCCAATAATAAGAAATAGTAGATGAGCTTCTACCCGAACATTACTTCCAAATAATTAAATAGGTAGATTACAATATTCAAGTAATTCTCTTTTCACATTCGGTGACTACATTTTCTAGCACAGGTGAAAGAAACGCTTGAAAGGAAGTTATTCTGAGCATAACTTCATTATATTTGGTGACTCTATTTCTCTTTGTTGTTATGGCTTCAATTTAAGGTTAACTTTTGGGGGGGTTGTTCACGTATAGCACATATACATGTGTGATTGAAATTATTCATTCAAGGGTTGATTTCATTGTTTCTGTTTTTCATATATGTCATTAATTTCTTCTTGGACATCGTTCTCATTTTTCAGATTCATCGAGAAAATGCCTCCAAAAAAAGGAATAAAGCGATCAAAGATGGAGGAACTCAAGGTCGAGAAGAAGCCTCCTGAATTTTTCAAAGTATTCAATCCTGAAACCAGCACTGATAAAATTGTAAGTGTTTTTTTTTTTTTGTTTGTCTCTTTTGATTTTCATTACGATAAAGAAAAACAAAACACTTTTCCTAAAACTAGTATTATTCTCACACGTTGTGCGGTGATATAATATATTATATATTAGTTTATTAATAAACAAATATAATATTTCGGTTCGGCTAATAATTGAATATAGTCACTGGTTTATTTTACTTTGTATCTCGGTTTGACTATGTGTTTTTTTGCATCATGTGTATACGTATATATGTATAAATTTTTGGTTTTTTAAATATATATGATAATAAGAAATTTGATAATAATAAATTTGGCAACTAATTAAATATTATGTTATATATTCATATTATTTTATTACTATAATATAAACTATGGGGTCATAACATAATTTTGTAATAGGAGAGCTATGGAAGTGGAAATATCCTTTGCTGAAATTAAATGCCTCTTTGATTTTTTGGTGATTTTAGGGAGGAGGGAGAAAAGAAAAAAGAAACTCTCTATAAATTATATATGAGAGTAGTTTAGGTAATTGATGATAATATAATTTAGTCAACATAAGAAAAATACTGTCAATTTATCATTACCAAATACAAAATCCTAGCCCACTAATTCTTTCATCTCCTCACAGCCGCCGTCATTTTTCACTCTTCTTCTTCATTTCCTTAGCCACCCTCATGACCCCATCTTCCGAGATTTTCTTTTACCGCTGCTACCTCTATTCTACAGTTGTTGTCTTTCGCCCCCGAATGTCCACACTGTCACTGTCACCGGTTCTTTTCTCGTCGGCTTTTCCAGTCCATAATAGGTGAACCTCCGGTCGCCGACTTCTTGCTGTCTTTTTCGACCGCTTTGTTACGTCTGCTTCATCGTTTTGTTTTTTTTACATCGCCGGAATCAGATTTTTCCACTTAGTTAGAATTGGTGCCGCTCGCTGGTTTATTCTTCTCCTTGTTGCTGACCAGCTGCAAAAAATTGCGGAAGGAACATCGCCAATCATTATCGCCGTCGATGTTCTTCTTTGCGAAATACGAAATTCATTGTCCCGGTTAATTTGATTTGATTGTTGGCGTCATCTTCTGAAGAAATTATTTTTTAGAAAATAATCATTTTACCTTGTTTAAAATAATCATGTTACTTGTATAAAATAGCCAGTAAAAAAATTCAAGAATTAGAAGATGATACGTGTCTTAAAAAAATTCTCAACGAACAAAAAAATCACATATGTACTTGAATGATACATTGAATCAATGTATTATGGCCATCAATAATACATTGATCTCTTTTTTTTTTCTGCTCAACAACACATTGAATCTCTTATTTATATTTTTGGTTAATAAGACATTGAATCTTCAATTAACCCCACTATAATAGAAACTGATTACGTCTTCATATCAGAGAGTATCAAGATCACATTAGAGAGGTCATGTTCTCATGCTTAGTTTAGGTTGTTGATAACTAAGTGACTAACTAGAGTGAGTTATACCTTTGGACAGAGCTAAAATATTTGTCATGCTATCTATCATCTTAGCATTGAGATTCCCCAAACAACTCTTAGCTGCAATGCTCTTAATCAGAAGTTTATTATGCTGATCACTTTAGAGATGCTTCCTCCTTAAATATTTGAAAATTAACAATATTTGAAACTGAATACCAGAATGTTTCATTAATTTTTGCTAGTACTATTATTTTGACACGCTTTTGCTATTTTCTTTTACGATATTGAAGTATTTGATTAATGCATGATGATGACACTTTGGCTAGTACTATTATTTTGACAGTTTATTTTTATTCAGATATTGTAATAGATTTATGTAAACAATTTGAAGATCTACAAGTTTGTGGAACAATTTTGGTGACGACGAAAATAATTTACCATTTACCTCACTATTTTGTTGCCTATTTGATAATTTATCCCTGTGCAGATGCTTCCAACGGCTTGGGCAAAGGAGATGGAAGGAAAGTTGCCTGGGAAAGCACTTTTGAGGGATCGCTATGGCAATATATGGCTTATCAAACTTACTAATGATCAGGAGAAAACTTATTTCCATCAAGGGTGGACAACATTCATTCATCAAAACTACTTGGAAAAAGGAGACTTTATCATTTTTAAGTTTGATGGAATTCGTGTCTTCAATGTCAGACTATTGGGATATGATTCATGTGACAAAAGAGGAGTTGGAAGTCTTAAATATAAATTAGAGGAAGAGGACGAAGGAGTAGTAGCAGTTCATGATAATGAGGATGCCAATAATAATAATGTTGATGGAGAAGGAGAGGAAAGTGATCAGCCTTTTAACGCCCACAATGTCTCAATAAATGTCAGAGGTACGACTTCATCATACCGTTCAGTAATCCCCTCCATTATTTAAACATTCAGAATGTTATTCTTATGCCACAAAATTAGCACTCCATCCATCCTGAAATGACTATTCATTTTTTATACCATTTTTCGTATAGTAAACTAGATAATCATTTTGAGCTATTTGAATTAATTTTTTTTTTTTTTGGTTTGATTGTTATTTTGATAAATACATTTTCAGGTGGGAATGGAGAAGACGAAGAATATCGTTGTTGGAAGAAGAACAGACTAGTCGATCCCTTTGGCTTTAAACTTTTCAACTCTGGAAAAGTTCGTAGACCTGAGAATCCACATTTCGTCACGCAAATAAATCCAACAAGGAGATATGGATTGGTACGCATGTTGATTTTGCACTTTCATCTTCTTAAATTCATTATTCAATGCAGTTTTGAGACCCTCTATGGGATTAAGATGTATTTTAGTGTCATCAACAAAATAGAAATTAAATCTTTATGCATTTGGTATACATTTTACCCTTGAAGAATTCTTAAATTGGGACTGTGGGACTTCATGTTGTGTTAGGGTCAGTTGAATGAAATCGCAAATCATGTACAGGTTATATATGTAAATATTTGTTAAAAATGCAGTAAGAATTAGGTATAAAAGCTGCTAGTTAATAAAAACTAGTGCGGTAACCTATTTTATGTAAATGCTTTGCACTTAAAAAAAAGTTGAAATTTTTGTAATCAATTTTTTGCAGCTTGTGCCTCTTGAAATTATTAAAGTTTACCATCTTGAACTGCCGGTGAAGACCTTCTTACGTGACCATCGAGGAAGGGAATGGAAGACAGATCTTATTGTGTGGAAAGATAATCGTTCATGGTACCACAATGGATGGAAGGAACTTTGCCAAGTAAATCTCATTGAACTAGAAGAACCATGCATCTGTGAATTTGTCAAGTGTGAAGAAAGAGGTCTATTCATACAAGTTCATATCCTTCCAAAGGCTGCAAGGGAAAATCCAATGAAATGAAATTATGAATGCTTCAGGTTTAATTAATAATTTAGATGCTTAATAAGTTATTGATTAATTTCCTCGAATGTATTGGTACTTATTTTATATCTGAATTTGAGCTAGCACTCTCTTCTGAAGTTGACTTGGTAACTTTTAAATTTCCTAATGAAGTTAAGTTACATTTTCTTTTAATTATTTTCGTAGTAGTATTATTATCCGTATAAATATATGATGGCCTTATTTTAGCAAGTTTTACTTCTTGTTCGTTTCAAAGAAACTGTTAGACAAGGTTCAAATTAGCATCATCGCATACAAAGCAAGGGTGCATCATTATATATATAAATTTTAGCCGATGATGGTTGTTTTGATGATGATACTCTGAAGCTAGCCCTCACTTTCAAACATATCAGCCAATGGTAAGAAAATAAGTCATATCTAGTTGCATCTTTAACTTGCTTTACGTAAATCTCTCGCCTATAGTTCATAGTAGAGGGTTGGCAAAGCCTTCCAATCCTAGTTCCATGCAGCTACATAAGAAACAGTCTCAGTATAAGTGTAGATATATATTCTTTTCGTATTAATTTAAAATGAGCAAACCCTCAAGACAAGTTTTTCTACTATTGTGGGAAGCTAGATTTTAGTTTTTGTTGGGTGAAATAAAAGGGAGTAAATGCTTTGGAAGGGCACAATGAGGGTTGACTTAGATTCTATATTGCCAAAATTGAATATAATTTAGCCACTTCAAAAAATGAATATAATTCAGCCATTTTGAAGATGAAAATTTGAGAGTTTTTAAAAGGTCGAAGTTGAACAACATTCTGATCATTAGTCAAGACCAAATGATACAATATTAGAGATCAACTTTCTTCTCCTGATTGTACATAAGTTTTCTTATTAGTGAACGAAAAAGTTGAACTAGTACATTTCTCAATCAAAATACATATAAGATATATGGAGTGTCAATCCAACAATTAAAATAAACGTACTTCAAACTACAACAGCATAGAGAAGTAATTTCGTCTCCTCAGAGAAAGATGAATTGTTTCCTTTAAACTAGTGCAAAGTCAGATTTTTAGATTGTTCTAATCTATGATAATGAAAACTCAAGTAACAAAAAATAAATAAAAGAAAGGATCAAAGCAACAAACGTCTGACTCAAAGTACGGACAACTCACTTATTTCACTAATAACGAGTTACTAAAACTCAATGAATGTTTTAGTCTTTTAAAAGTCTCTCCTCCCTCTCTTAATACTGGAGTTCTTATCCTGACTCGAATAGGGATAGATCATTATATTGGTGCTTTCTTTGAGTTCAGCCTTCCATGGTTGATCACAGTGAGGTGATTAGGCAAATTTTTGCCAATTTAGAGCACCTCCATACCATGGTTGATGAAATGAGGAGGCGTTTGTTTACCCAGAATCGATTCAGGAAACGGATTCGAATCTCTTTCAATTGTTTGGTTGTTAGGAATTGAATCCAAGGAATGAGTTGAATCCCAAAGAATGAATCCCTACTCTCCCCCTTGGATTCAGGTTGAATCCCTTCTCGAATCCTTTTCTGATTTTCTTTTTAAAAGAAATTCCCAGACAAATTTTTTTTCTTTCTTCCCTGTCGTCCTCTCCGTCCAGATTCAACTACTGTATCACCTCCCGTAAACCTGTCGCCGTCGTCAGCACCGACCCGTCCAAGCCCAGCTATCACCTCCCGTAAGCTTGCCGCCGGCACCCCATACCATTGTCGCCGCCATCGTAGTCATAGGTACCATAATCTTCTCATTACTCCATGGTATCAACATCAACAGCTATTCCAAACCGGATTGCCGCCATGAATATGAATTAACAACTCAGATCTAAGCAACTAGCATCTAAATCGTAGAAGATGTATTATGTTCTTTTTTTTTCACAAAATTTTTCTTAGTCAAATTAGATAATATACTGGGAATCATCTTGCATTCGTCCTTGTTGATTGGGCCATCCTAATTGAGTTATTGATCTTGTTTGCCAATTGTGTGTGAGGGAAGAGGAAGGGAGGGGGAATTTTGGCTTGAAATGCCCAAGGTGAGGTTGTTGGTGGCTTCGTTAGTTTGGGGATTGCAGGGGTTAACGATGGAAGCTTTCTGAGTTTCTGGCTTGAGTTTTTTTTTTTTTTTCTTGCAGGGATTCATTTTTAATTTTTTTTACCTTGAACAATTACAACACCTATTATAGTGTAGGTGGTAATGGTGATGACTGGTGTTAGGTAGGCGAGGAAGATGGAAAATGGTGATTGTTCTTGGTGGGGAAATGGTGGAGCGGTGCGGAGAGGAGCAGCAGCAGTTTGGTGGCTGCACTTTTCAGGTGGAAAAGGGGAGCCGAACGGGGAAGGAAGGGGAAAAATATATTATTTTATTTTCTTTAATCATAGTTTTATTTAGAAAAATAGATATATAAAATATTATCAAATGAATCCATATCTCAAACCAAACAACATAATTGGATTCATGATTCCACGAATCCTTGAATCCAATCAGCCATCATTCAAATCCGTTTCCAGTTGACGAAACAAACGGCTCCTGAATCTTCTACTTGATTTTCTTTCATCAACCTCTACCATAATCCCAATTGATAGAATATGGAAATAATCGAAACCCTAATTAGGGTTTCCTATGTAGACGGCTAGGGTTGTTACACTATTGTACTATAAATACCACAATGTATCTTGTGAATAACACACATAATAATTCTTTCATGGTATCATCCTTCTTTCCTGGCCTCTCAAGTTTTTAGAGTTTCTTGCCGTTCGAACACAAAATCTCCCTTCGACCGCCATCCAAACACTTTTCTTCCTCTCTCTTTTCTTGCCGGTGTACACAAAATCCCTCTGTTGCCGGCATACACTTTTCTTCTTCTGCCAGCCGGCCCTGTTCTTCCGCCGCTGCAGCAGTTTTCTTCTCTCTGTTGTTGGTTGTCGCTGCTGCAGCAGTTTTCGTTCTTCTGCCGCCGCCGCTGCTGCTGCTGCTGGTTCAGTTTTTGTTCAGGTCTGCTGCTGCTGGTTCTCTCTTCTGTCACCGCTGTTGTTGATTTACGGCTGTTGCTTGCTCCTTGATCACACTTTAATTCTGGCTGCTTAATTCCGCTGCTGTTGTGTGTCCGGCCGCCGCTGCTCTCTGCTGCTATTAATTCTCCTGTTCGTGGTTGCTGCTGTTGTGTGTCGCTCGCTTGCTGTTAATTTTGCTGCTACTGTTCATCATCATCATCATTAGGTCTTTCTTGATCTTCCTGTCGGCACACACCCACACACACACAACCCTGCTGCCGCCGCTGTTTCATTAGTTAAAAAAAAAAAAACCGAGGCCATGACGAACTCCGCCGTGACCTCTGCTGTCTCACAGCAAACTGATCTTTAATCAACCGAGGCCATGCCACCCAATTCTTTTCCGACACCACCTTCTCATCCGGCTATTGGTCTCTCTAACATCAAGAATTATGTGACTCCCGTTCTGGATTTCACAAACTACATGTTATGGAAAGAACTTTTTCTTCCTGTCTTTCGCGGACATACCGTGATTGGTCATATCGATGGCTCCGATCCTTGTCCTCCATCAACTCTCGCTGCCTCTGACGGCACTTCCTCATCTACTCCAAATCTCCTAGATCCAAGCCACTGTTTCCACCGAAATTTTGCAAGCCATAGTTCGGCCCAATTCTTCCCTTACCGCCTGCAATGCGTGGCTCACCATTGAGAAACTCTTCCACGATCAGCTTGGTTCCCGCCTTCTCCAATTGAAATTGGAGTTTCATAGCTTAAAGAAAGGGGAATTAACCATTAAGGAGCATGTTACCAAGCTTAAGATGTTGGCTGATTCATTAACAGCAGTTGGTTCTCCCATCTCCGACGATGACTTGGTGCTTCAAATTTTGGCTGGTCTTCCTTCGACCTACCAGTCTGTCTCTACTACCATTAGCCATTGCGTTCTTTACCCAACTTCGTTGAAGCTCGATCAATGCTCTTCCTGCATGAAGTGCAACTTCAGCACACGCTCCTTCTTCCCTCTCCACGGTTGCCAACGCTCTGGTCGTGCCATCTTCCACTGACCTTTCATAGCAGCAGTCCAATACCCCTTCTTAGCAGCAGCCGTCTTCCAATCGTGGCCGTGGCAGGGGTCGCGGTTTTCAGAATAATCGGGGACGTGGCCGTGGTCGTGGACGCAACCAATTTTTTGGTCAGTATCCCTCCTCATTTTCTGCACCTCTTAACTCTTATACAGCTCCTATGTTTACTCCCAGGCAACGTGCTCCCTCTCTTCTTGGTCCGGCTCCCTCTTTTCAGTCCAATCCCACTACTGTTCGTTGCCAATTGTGCAATCAATTCAATCACTCTGCTCGAGATTGCTATCAATTTCAACAGCCCGCTTACTTTGGGGTCACAATAATCGCCTTTCTATTCCCCCATCTGCTGATTCCTCCTGGTATATGGACACTGCTTGTGGTAACACTATGACTCCCTCTCAAGGTACTCTTACTAATTCAAAACCTTATACTGGTTCTACTCGAGTCATTATTGGTAATGGTCATTCTTTACCTATTCAATCCGTTGGTTAACTCTCTTGTTCTCAGTTTTGTTTCCCTAATGTTTACCATGTTCCTTCGCTTACAAAAAATCTAATCTCTGTGCGTCAATTTTCCACTGAAAATCAATGCTCTGTTGAGTTTGACCCTTTTGATTTTTCTGTGAAGGATCTTTGGACGAGGACCCCTCGTCTACATTGTAATAGTACTGGTTCCCTTTATACATTTCCGCCCTCACTGCTCCATCCATCCCTTGCACCGTCTTCTCCGTCTTGTTCGGTGTTTGCTGCTTCCGTCTCTTCTCAATTATGGCATCAACGCCTTGGTCACCCGAATGCCTCCGTTTTGTCCAGTTTAGTGTCCAGTCGAAGTCTTCCTAGCCCCGTCATCTCTTCAAATAAACTTAGTCTTTGCCAGGCTTGTCAAATTGGGAAGTATCATAAGCTCCCTTTTATGCCTTCTTCTTCGGTTACTTTTAGTGCTTTTGATATTATACACACAGATGTTTGGACCTCTCCATGTCATTCCTTCAGTGGTCTCAAGTATTTTGTACTCTTTCTTAATGATTTCACTCATTATTTATGGGTGTATCCTCTTAAAAATAAATCCGAGGTTCCTCAAAAGTTTGTTGAATTTTATACTCTTGTTCAAACTCAATTCAATGCTTCCATCAAAACTCTTCAGTCTGACGGTGCAGCTGAATATATTCATTGTCATTATCTTCAGTCTTTTCTTAAATCTAAGGGGATCACAATGTGTATCTCTTGTCCATACACTCCTCAACAAAACGGCAAGGCTGAGCGCATGAATAAAACACTAATCAATATGATCCGCACGCTTCTGCATCAAGCTCACTTACCACATGCATTCTGGGTAGAGGCTTTACATACTAGTGTCTATCTGTTAAATCATTTACCTAAAATCTAAAAATGGGGACATTCCTTTCTCCCTTCTTTTTGGTCATCCACCTAACTATGGTTCCTTAAGGGTATTTGGGTGTTCCTGTTTTCCCAATCTTTCTCATTTAGCTTCTCATAAGCTCCATCCTCGCTCCGCTCCATGTGTCTTTTTTGGTTGTCTTGAATCTTATAAGGGCTATAGTTGTTTTGATCCTGTTTCTAAGAAAGTCTATACTTCCCGTCATGTCATTTTTTATGAAACCTCTTTTCCATTTCCTCAACTCTCTTTGGTTCCCCAAAACAATCCTCCCCAATCTCCTTTTAAAAATCCCTCGTTCCTTATTTCACGATCCCTCCCTTCATCAGAATCCTCTCCGTTGGTTGCTTCTCCTTCACAAAAACATGTGTCATCCGTTCCTTTAGTATCTGCACCCACACCTTCCATTTTATTATCACATACTTCGGATCCTCCTCTTTCAAATCCCCCTATTCATCATATGGTCACTAGAACTCGTGATGGTACTCGTAAACCTAAACAGATACTCTCTGTTACTGCCACTACTACATCCTCTTCACTCCCTATTGAACCAAAATCCTTCACTGAAGCGAATAAATACCCTGAATGGTGTGCCGCTATGAATGACGAATTTAATGCTCTCCTCACTAATCATACATGGGATTTAGTCCTTCCCCCTGTCTCTGCCAATATTATCGGCTCCAAATGGATTTTTCGAGTCAAGTTAAAATCTGATGGCTCTCTTGATCGATGTAAGGCACGTTTGGCGCTCAAGGCTACAATTAGCAGCCTGGACTTGATTATGGCCAAACGTTTAGTCTGGTGGTTAAACCTGTGACAATTCGGACTTCCTTAAGTATTGCTGCTTCTCGAAAATAGGCCGTTCATCAGTTGGACGTTAAAAATGCATTTTTGCATGGTCATCTTAATGAAATTGTCTATATGAAACAGCCTACTGGTTTTGTTCATCCAGACCATCCTCACTATGTCTGTCGGTTGAACAAAGCTCTTTATGGCTTAAAGCAAGCTCCCAGAGCTTGGTTTCATCGTTTCACAGCTTTTCTGCTTACACAGGGTTTTAAAGGCAGTCGCTCAGATACTTCCATGTTTGTGTATTCTTCTGGATCGGATATGGCTGCATTGTTAATTTATGTTGATGACCTCTTGACAGCTTCCAGCAATCATCTCCTCACTACTATTATTCAGTCGCTGAAAGGAGCTTTCGCAATGACGGATCTTGGTCCAATCAGCTATTTTCTTAGTATTTCTGTTGCTCCTCACTCTGGTGGTTGGTTTTTACACCAACGCAAGTGTGCTGAGGAGTTGCTTGCTCGCAGTCATCTCAACGATGCCAATCCAGTTGCAACTCCACTTACTCCGGCTTTTCAATTTTCGGTTGGTGAGTCCCCGCCTTTTCACAATCCGACTCTCTATCGGAGCTTGGTGGGTGTATTACAGTATCTTACTTTCACCAGACCGGATATTCAGTATGCGGTTAATCTTGTCTGTCAACATATGCATGATCCTCGTGAGCAGCACTTTCAGGCGGTCAAACGCATTCTCCGTTACATTAAGGGCACACTTCACTATGGTACACATCTCCGTGCTGGCCCCCTTGATCGCCTTGTTACATATTCCGATGCTGATTGAGCTGGATGCCCTACTACTCGCTGCTCTACGACTGGTTTTTGTGTTTTCTTGGGCTCCTCACTAGTTTCCTGGTCTTCCAGGAAACAATCCACTGTGTCTCAATCTTCTGCTGAGTCTGAGTATCGTGATGTTACCTCTGCGTTGGCTGAATCCGTCTGGTTGGAGAATCTTCTGTCTGAACTTTAAATCAAGCTCTCACATCGCCCGGTCATCTTGTGTGATAATGTTTCTGCTACATACCTAGCTGCAAATCCGGTTAATCATGCTCGCACCAAACATATTGGTCTAGACATTCATTTTGTTCCTGAACGTGTTGCTGCTGGTCTTCTTCGGGTCCTTCATATTTCCTCACAATCCCAGCTTGCAGATGGTTTTAACAAATCTTTACCTAAGGATAAATTGTATTTGTTTAGAACCAATCTAGGCATGATTACTTCTCCTGCTACGATTGCGGGGGGATGATAGAATATGGAAATAATCTAAACCCTAATTAGGGTTTCCTATGTAGACGGCTAGGGTTGTTACACTATTGTACTATAAATACCACAATGTATTATGTGAATAACACACACAATAATTCTTTCACCAATGAGACCAGCATGAACACCCATCGCAACCACACCTTCCAGAACCACCATAGCAATGTCAGCACCACCATCGCATTCCACCATCAACAAACTAACACCAACATCAAAAGCTAGTTATCCGCCTACACTAATGACACAAGAATCAACCACCTTCATCTCCACGACACCAAATTCAATCCTTGACTCTCAATCACTACCAATTTCCATCCCCATCACTACTGCAATGCCAAAGCAAACACTGCCGAAGCCAACACCAACTTCAAACTCAATCATCAAAACAACATCGCCACCAAACACAAACTCACGTCTTATAACTCCTACAGCTTCCTGCTTCAACAAACCTTTGCCACAACAATCCTCTCCTTTTCACGTTTCACCCAAACTTTCCCAAAAGAAGTCCACCCTCCACGCCCTCAATTCGGATCAGTTCGCCATGGTTGATTCTTGAATTGGAGAGCTACAAAGAAAGGCTGAATATGAGTACATGTACATGGCTCGTTGAGTATTGGAAGTAATATGAAGGATTTGTCATTGTTTCTGTTGAAGAACTATCTGGGTTCTAAAATGAGGAAAGGTTTCAAGAACTTTTGCAATGGTCCCGATTCGACTTCTACTGAATTAGAACCACCACCACAAAGTAGTACATAGAGATGTTCAAATTGGATGTTAGCAACACACAATGGCGGAACCAGCTCTTGAGATTTGAGGGAGCTCGCAGTCATCCAGATTTTACAATAAATAAAAAATTTCTCTACCTTAGAAAAAACTCCACTCGCATTTTTTTAAGTAGAGTGTTTTTTCATTGATTTAATAAAATTTTAAAAGACGAATTAACATTCATATTGTGGTGATATATTAATGAGCGTAGCAGTTGCATTATTTAATAAATAGTAAACGGTAAAATTGGATTTGGAGATGAGCTCAATTAATTCTTAAAAATCAATTTGATCCCTAAATAATACTCCCTCCATTCCAAAATAGATGTCGTTGGGGGAGTCGCACAAAGTTTAAGAACACAATAAATACTTGGTTAAAATACTAATCTACCCTCATTTACTTTTAATGGAATCCTATTTCCAATATTATTTAGTTCTAATATACTTCTACTTTAAACACAATTACAATTTCCCATGTAGGGGTAATGCTGGAAGAAATTGACAAAATATGCCTCGAAATGCAAAAACGACATATCTTACCATATATTTAGGGATTTTTCTCACAAAACACATATCAGTCAATTAGATCATCGATAATTTCCAATTACACGTGTCATCTTCTCATTCGTAGAGAATTTCATGTAGTCCACGTGTCAACATTTCATTGGCTTATTTTTTACTAAATTTTTACTGAACTTCATAACTGTAATTTTGCACAGTAAAATGGTTATAATTATGTTAAAATTAATATTTTTAACATATCATCGAGGGTTTTTTTTTTTTTTGCACCGATTAATTGAGACTGAACTCATCACCCAAACTTAATGTAATCATCAGTTCAATGCCATCGAAATCATCACCAGATTATACATGATCTCATATCCACGACCGAATAAGAATCCCTGCTAATTGATTATTTGAAACGGATTGTACACATACTTCGTAGGAAGCATTTGAATCTCAATTCCCAACTCATCACGGACGAGGTCACTGGCAATAAACTCCAGATCGATCGCCACTTCATTATGTTCAAGTAAATCTGCCGTCGCGATTTGCGTCGATCCAGCATAAGTCTCTAAAATGAGACCAAAGAAAAAGCCGGTGGCGAGAAGAAGCTAAAGGCAATCAATGATATGAAACCCTCCAAATCCAAGATAAGAAAAACAAAATCCCTTCAAAGGATGCGCGTTGCGTTGATTCAAATAAGATGGAGGCCAAGTTTTTTTTTCTTTTAATAATTGGGGGCTTCCTGCGGGGCATGGCTATCCCCGTAATTCTAGTAATACGATAAGTCTAGGGATTTTGTAGGATATGCAGCGCCTTGTTGTAGGAGTATTGAGGCTCAGATGGTTCAGAGGGAGGTGCAGGAGATTCAGATTCGGTGTTGGTTTCCAAAGCAGAAGGAGAAGAAGAAAGAGAAGAAGATAGAAGAAGTATGGTTGACAGTTGACCATGGCCGATCGGGAGAGAAGGAGAAAGAGAAGAAGAGAGAAGAAGAATGACGGCTGTGGGCTGAGGAAGGGTTTTCTATTTTGGGAAGTCTTCTATTCATGGATAATATTCCAAAGATTTTCCCGTCGTCTTTTACGTATGTAATTTTCTTTTTAGCATAAACAATCATTCAGTGAAGCACCGGATTCGGCGCCTATAAGGATTGAACCTTCTTTGGATCAAATAAGGTATTAATTTCAAAAGATCATTTTCAAAGGAAAATTATCTTTCATTTATCTCCCTCATTGAAGCATTTGATAAGATTTTTTTTTAAGCTCAAATTTGAATGCTGCCCTTATCACATTGGCAACTAATCAGAATAAACCCTAATACAGTATAATTTGGTTTCTTTTACTATATATATACGATATGATTATTGCAGATAGCCAGCACATAAATTACTCTCACAAAAACACGACAAATCACCAGTGTTTATGTTCGAGCTGATGTTAAAGCCCTTGATATGCCTCTTGAAGCTGATGTTTTCCGGCTTTCTCCCGGCTACAATGCTCCCCAACAGGTTCCCTCTTTGGTCATTTTATCTCGACAAAAGCACTGAATTTGTTTCTATATGCTTGAAAAGAATTGAAATCTTGATAATCTATTGCCTCGATTGTCACGAGGCAATAGTAAATTCAATCTAATTAACACTAGACATCATCCACTCAAAGATTTAGAACCCATCTCTAATTGTAGCAGTACTGTTGTAAAACCAATGATTATGATTGTTAGGTCAAACTGGTAGGATAATCTATCCTGAAAGTGATTGAAATAAAAAAGAAAAAGTTACCACTGCTTGAGCTTCTGTATTAGTCCAGTCTACTTCGAGTCAAAAAACAGAGCAAGCGCCCTAGATGATGAATCCTGAACCTCACCGACAGAAACTGGACTAGCTGCGCCACCGCCACGGTTTGATGTCCTATTCTTGCGGGGAATCGAATTCTCCAACATCGGCGGAAGCGGCGGTGTGTCAGAATTCTCGATGTCCAGAGATCTTTTTGAGCTTTCTCCGCGGCTTCCTTGGCTGCTTCTCGGACGAAGCCGACACCATAGTTCCAGCGGAGCATCCACCACTGCTGCCGAGACTTCAGTCTTCTGAGTTACTATGGAAGAACGCGGTTCAAATGAAGTGATATACTGAAAAGAGCACAACAACAAACATTACAAAGCCAGAGGAGATGTGACCGCATATAAGTACTATAATATTATACCTCTGGCTTCATCCATCACATTACCATTCAAACTTTGCAGGTGAATTATGTTTAGTTTTTCGCTTCTGATTTCTGAATATACTGCCGCAAATTCATAGCAGCTATTCGGGTTATGAAGTTACTGATAATTTCATTTCTTTGTTTTTGGTTGGCGCAGTACAACACCAAATACTATTACCAAGTTGAAATTGGCCAAACAATCCTTACTTTCTGGTTCGTTGCCCTCCTCCAGTTCGAGATTTTCCATGCATACACCTTTGGCCTTATAGGTACTTTTTATTTTTATTTGAAAGAAGAGGAAAACTTTGAGAGGATTTGAAGGGAAGTTCGTGATTAGCTTAGCATGTGTGTTTCACTTTTCAGGGGATTCGGGACAGAGTTTTGACTCCAATAACACACTAACTCATAATGAACAAAATCCAAGCAAAGGTTAGACGTTGCTTTTTGTTGGAGATCTCTCATATGCTGATAATTATCCTAACCATGACAATGTGAGATGGGATACAAGACGCAGGTTTGTTGAGAGAAGTGTTGCATATCAACCTTGAATTTGGACTGCAGGAAATCATGAGATTGATTTTGCTCCTGAATTGTAAGATTTAAAATGCCTCCCCTCATCAATTTACTTTCCTCTTGATATCAGATTTTTGTGGTTTGCAGTTGTTCTTTTCACTATTATAGCTATCTCAAACCATCGAATTAAAGTGTTGTATACATAATGTTCAAAGTTGATGAAATATAATGTTGTAGGATTATGATGAATGAAATTTTTTACCATTTTATTTAGGATGTGGAGATGATCATTTATTTTGATGATTTTCTTATTAGTATTAATCTTGATGAATTTTACCTTTAAATATATATCATTTGTTTATAAAAATTTTAAATACATATCATAGTTCGCCAATAGTGATTCACTTACTCCGACATTATAGAAATAGTATATGGAGTGTATTTTTGGAATCATTCAATGGCAAGGGTTTTCGTACAAATAAGATGGCATGGGTTTCCGGAAAAGAATTTACGGCCACGCAGCTTTTCTTCTCTGGCCAAGTCGGCACAATTTTTCTTGTTCGGAGAAAGCAGAAAATAGATTTCTTGCAGGTCTGACGTAATAGATGAAGGATTTGGCCGTATACTACATATATACTTATTCTTTACGAGGAATGACCCTATCTTCTATACAATTTAAATTGAATCATTAGTTATGGTTGAGATAATTACTACGGTTTTATCATTTATCAAGATTCAACTGATTTTTTTTTGTTATTAGAACCAATCTACGTGTATTAACCTCACAATGTCAAAATTGTCTACATATAATTAATTCCAGTTGGGAATTTCTTATGAAAATTATCATAGCATTACAACTCTCCTTATCTGATCTAAAGTAAAAGACCATATTATGTTATGGATCTCTTGTAACATGCTGAAAAAAAAAAGCAGAAGATAGAAGATGGTTCAGAGGGAGGTGCAAACTGGATCTCTACGCTGGATTTTCCGTCTTTTACGTAAGTAATAATCCGGTGTAATCATAGAATTTTATCATTTGAATCACCGGTTTTGCTGTGCATTTGTGTCATAAATTGGATGGATAAGACGTTGTTAATTCAAAATTTCATTTTGAAAAAGGGAACTATCTTCACATATCTCCCTCATTGTTCCTCTTGATAATCATTATCATTAAATTAAATAACAAGTTTAAATGAAGATAATTTCCATTCAAGAAAGTTAGAATTTAATTATGGTCTTATCACATACGGTGGCAGAAGATTCGTTTTTTTTTTTTGCCGCTTCCTCCTATTTCTCCCTCCCGAATCAAATGCATTATTCTCCGTTATCTTTTATGCTCTGCAATTCTCAATTATCTTTACGCATTATTCTAATTTGACGTTGTTATATTGATTTTTTTGAAAAAGAAAAGTTTGATTGGTTTTGTTCCACGCTAACCAATCAAACTTATTCTCAATTATCTTCTCTCTCTTCGCTCTCGGTGCACGCGGCTAACGTGCACCTGCCATGGCATGTCGGAAGACGAAGGGGAAAGCAACTCAGCCCCAAGTAGAGGAGAGAAATCTGAGTATAAGTGAGAACATAAAAGGCCGTGAGGATGTTAGCGTGGATAGATCTACACAGAAGAGAGGTACAGCTAGGGTTCCAGATCTGCAATCAGAGGAGTTAGCGAGAATTGGGGATGAAATTCAAGATTCGTCTGTTAATAGGATGGAAGCAGTTAAAGAGAATTCGAATTTGACTGCACCAGCAAAAGTAACGGGTTCTCAAATGCGTCAATCCCCCAGTGTTGGGCATAGCAGTGGAAAGAGGCAAGGGGAAGTTGAGCTACTTGGCGAGATCTGAATGCAACGCGCCAGTTGCAATGGTCAGAAATGGTAGAACGCGATGAGAAGCAAGGAGTGTGGGCTAAGAATGATACAAGCAAATTCAAAGCACCCTCAGAAAAATTGCAATTCATACCGCCAAAGGAGGTGGCAGGTCAGAACATTGCTCAGATGCAGATGGAGGATGTTAAAACTGAAGCAGAGTACTGGGAATCTTCCATTGCATGCTTTGTACTGGGTGCTCATCCACCAATAGGTGTTACGGAGAGATATTTCCAGAAGCTCTGGGGAAACCTAGGCATTGATAAGGTAATTCTCTTGCCTAGTGGCTTTTTGTTGTTAGATTTACAACCTTAAATGCTAGAGATACAGTGCTAAATGTGAATTTCTACCATTTTGGGTCAAAGCCCTTAATTGTGAAACCTTGGGAAGTAGAAAAAGGGATCAATTATAATGATGTTGAGTATGTTCCTATATGGATACGTTTATATGGCTTGGAAGTTAAATTTTGGAATCTTAATTCCCTTAGTAGATTGGTAAGTGCAATTGGAACTCCAATTTTAGCAGATGACTATATTGTTAGAAAGGAGAGAGTTCAGTTTGCTAGGATACTGGTTGAAATGAAAATAGCAGCTAATGTACCGGATAAGCTGGTGTTTGAGGATGAGAAGGGGCATGTGAAAGTGCAGAAAATCGTCTATGAATGGCTCCCCACTAAATGCGATCATTGTTCGGAATATGGCCACCTCACTACTAAGTGCATAATTAAATTGAGGAAAGAAGAAGATAAACCCAAACAACCAGTGGCAACTTGGAAAAAAGTGGAAAACAAGGTTGAAGGACGAAGAAACGCTGCCAAGACTATAGCAACTGATGACAACCAAAGGAACTCAACAGTAAGAAGAAAAGATCAATCCTCATGTGAGGTAAGTTTCATCAACAGTAATGGGCAGCTCGCAAATAGCCTTCATGAGGAAGGAAACCTAGAGAAGAAAAAGGGGGGCCAGAGCGGTGAAGATGAGAATATGGTAATTTCTGTGGAGAGTTCTATAAGCATAGGAGCAAAGGAGGGATTAGTTATAGATCCTGGTCCAAGTTCCTATGAGTAGCATAATCTCATGGAATGTAAGGGGTCTCAACTCTCCCCTTAAGCGGCAAGAAATCTGTAAAAGAGTGAATGACCGGAAAAGCAGTATCATATGTTTAGTGGAAACAAAAATGACCAGACAAAGAAGAGAGCAATTTTTGCAAAATCGCTGGAAGGGTTGGCAGTGGTACACTAACTATGATAGCCATGAACGGGGAAGGATAATGGTGCTTTGGAACGACATAGAGGTACAAGTATTAAGTCAGAGTTCGCAGATGATTCATGCCTTCTGCAAGATAAAGCAAGGAAGCAGGCCGTTTTATTTTGCTGGCATTTATGCATCAAATGAACAGGATCACAGCTATGGATGGCGTTAATAGGGCTCTCAAAAAGTATTGGAGACCCCTAGTTAATGATGGGGGATTTCAATAACATCTTGAAGCCTGAGGAAAAACTAGGGGGGAAGCCTGTAGTGCTTCAGGACTTTGAAGAATTTCAATGGAGTATGGATGAATGTGGTTTACGAGATCTAACCCAGAAAGGGAAGATGTTCACATGGTGCAACCAAATAGTAGGAACTGAAAGGATATACGCTAAATTAGACAGAGCATTAGTCAATAGTGAATGGATTGACCAATATGCAGAGTCTATAGCAACAGTATTGATGGAAGGAGTATCGGACCACTCACCACTTGAGGTCCAGTTCGAGGTAGAAATGCAGAAGAGGGGGAGTGCTTTTAGATTTTTTAACATGTGGTGTCTATCCACTGAATTTCTGAGAACAGTGGAAAGGAGTTGGGTAGAAAACATTGAAGGCACTTGTATGTATCAATTATGCCAGAAGTTGAAGAGGTTAAAATATCCATTGAAGAAGCTTAACGGACTACAATTTGCAGACATAGTGGAAAAATCAAACAGAGAAGAGATGCAACTGGAAGTGATGTAACAAAAGCTCAGCCTCGATCGCGGTGATGTTGATTTGCAGGTTGAAGAACGGAAATTTTATAATCAGTATGTAGTGTCCAGAAAAGCTTCAAACAGTTTCTTGCAACAGAAATCTAAGGAAACTTGGCTTGGTGAAGGTGATGCCAATACGAAATTCTTTCATATGTTGTTGAAGGTTAAAGCAATGAAAAGTAGAATCTGGGGAGTACAAGAGGAGAATGGAAGGGAGATTACTGATCAGAAAGGCATCGAAGAGCATTTCGTTTGCTTCTTCAGAGAGCTATTAGGAAAGACAAACAGGAGAGAATCAGTGAAGGAAGAAATGTTTAAGACTGGGCATGTACTGTCAGTGGAGCAACAAGTGAGACTTATACAGCCAATCCAGAGTGGCGAAATCAAAAAAGCCATCTGGGACATGGATGTGAACAAAAGTCCTGGACCCGATGGTTATGGCTCGGGGTTCTTCAAAGCAGCTTGGACTATAGTGGAGCACGATGTGGTGGCAGCTGTCATGGAGTTCTTCAGTACAGGTCAGATACTCAAACAACTTAACTCACCTTTAGTTACTGTGATCCCTAAAGTTGATAATCCTTGTAATTCAAGTCAATTCAGACCTATATCTTGCTGTAACGTTATTTATAAGTGCATTTCAAAAATTTTATGTAATAGAATGAGTAGTATCATGCCTGTCTTAGTAGATGAAAACCAAACAGCTTTTGTAAAAGATAGGCTAATTATGCATAATGTACTTATAACCCAGGAATTGATTAGATTGTATAGGAGGAAAGGGGTTAGTAAGAGAATGATGATGAAGATTGACTTGAAAAAAGCATTTGATACTGTTGAGTGGGGATTTATAGATGATATGTTAGGTGGGTATGGATTCCCGGAGGAGTTCAGGAAATGGATCATGGCATGTGTGTCATCGCCATCGTTTTTGATAGTTGTTAATGGCTGCACTGTGGGTTTCTTTGCTGGCAAGCAAGGATTAAGACAAGGCGATCCTGTTTCGCCTAAAGAAAGTCGCAGAAACAGGGTTTAGGTTTCATCCTATGTGCAAACAACTCAAATTGACCAATATCTGTTTCGCCGATGATCTAATGATCTTTTGCAAAGCAGATGTTGAGACTTTGAAGAAGATAATGGGGGTGTTAAGGCATTTTACGGGAACCACGGGTCTCGAGGCAAATGTGCAAAAGTCGGCTATTTACTTCGGTGGGGTTGGTGGCACACTGCAGGAGAAAATTGCTGAATTAGTTGAGTTTCCTGTCGGGATTTTTCCTATGAAGTACCTAGGTGTTTCACTGTCACCCAAAAAATGGTCCCAAGTAGAGTGTCAGGGGATCATAAATCGTATCACCACACGACTTAAGTGCTGGAGCACTCGACATCTGTCCTATGCCAGCAGATTAGTCTTAGTGAATTCAGTACTCATGTCGATGCATACTTATTGGGGTAGCATGTTTATCTTACCGTAGAGCATAATAGGGATGGTGAATTGGTTATGTAGATAGTTTCTCTGGGGGGTCAAAGAAAATGGTAGGGTAGTATCCTTGGTGGGATAAGAAGAGATTTATAAGAAAAAGGTAGCTGGTGGATTGGGGATCAGGGACGCGAAACTCTGGAATAAAGCAGCCTTACTGAAGCAAGTTTGGCAGATAGCTTCACAGAAAGACGCGTTATGGATTAAGTGGATTCATGGTGTTTATCTCAAAAGCTCATCATTCTGGGAAGTTGAGGCTAAAAGCGATGCTAGTTGGCAATGGAAACAGCTCTTGAAGGTTAGGGATCATGGGAAACTTGGCTTTGCTGGAAGCAGTTGGCTGGCTTCAGCTACTGGTAAGTATACTGTGAAATTAGGGTATGCTTGGTTTACAGGGAATGAGATGAAGGTTAGGGAATCGCAGAGCATATGGTCACGAATGAATGTACCAAAACACTCATTCATAGCCTGGCTCACATGGAAAAAGAGGTTATGGACAAAAGATAAACTCATCTCAATGCATATGGTTGAAAATGATCAGAGTTGTCTGCTGTGTAAGTTGCAGCTAGAATCTGTTGAGCATTTATTTTTTCAGTGCAACTTTGCAGCAGCAGTATTGGCGAAAATTGTCAAATGCCTGGGTTGCAGGAAAATAGCAGCAAATGAAGCACGGTTGAGAATGCAAATTCTGAACATGTGGAAAGGATAGAAGATCAAAAGGAAACTTCTCTGGGCAGTAATGGCAGCCTTTACATATCATCTGTGGGAGGAGAGAAATCACAGGCATTTCCAGCAACTGGAGAGAAGTCCAGAATAAATCATGCAACTGATCAAAGATGAAATGAGATGCCGTTTCTTGCACTGTCACAAGATGAAGAACAGAGCAGCAACTGAAATCTTTGATAGGTACTTCTGAATTCAACTGATTATGTCATAGGGGCTTAAATATGTGTTAGCATGGTTCTACTAAGAGTTGTGTTAGCAGAGTTTATCCAGCAGCTTTGTAATAGGGATAATAGGAGCTTCTGTAATAGGGTTTCTTTTCAACAGTTTTGTAGTTAGCAAGAGTTGGGTCTATTAAGTTGAGTTTGTAAAGAACGGTCATGGTCCGTTTTGGTGTGCCATTCTTTATATATACATTTATCTTTTCCACCAAAAAAAAACTTCTTATTTGTTTGAAGATGCTTTTTTATATTTATAATTGGAATTGATTGGTCTTCTCTTTGTTTGTTTGGTTTTTTAGTGTGTGTTTTTAGGTGTTTTTTGTATTCAAAATGTAAAAAGGTGTATTGGAAATGTAAAAAGGTATGCTGGGATGGGACAGTTAATATTTAATTATTCTGAAAATACCATCAAAAAAAGAAACCGAACAAAGCCTTAATTTCTAAGCAAAGTGCTAAATTTGATCAAAGAGATATCTGAGCAACATATATATATATATATATATTGCCATTGTATAGTTTCTATTAGAATTAGTTTCTCAATAAATGATTAGCGAATATATATATATATATATATATATAGTTGTCTACTATTAACTTGGGCCACAGATCTTCATATATATTAAACAAAATTTTTCAGAGATACAATATCAATAACTAAAAACAATATCAATAATGACCACGACTTCTAATCTTTCGATGGAACTCTATCGACGACGCTGGCCATTATAAGATAAAACCGCCAATCATTTGTTATTGGCAACACGTCCATCAACAAAAACCATTGCAGATTTTTAACTAATTAAAGATTTAATACCTTTTATACAGCAATATGCAAAGTGACATAGTATTAAAAGTGAAATGAAGATGTATTAAGAGCCGGTTCTTCTTTTCTTTTTTACTTCTTTTTCTTTTTTGATTTAACGGGGGTGTCAAAAATTCTAAAATAGCATACATAACAATTACAATTGTTTAATCTACCAAAAACTCGGAACCTTTTAAGTGAGAACGCAGAGTGACATATTGTTAAAGAGAAAAAATAATGAAGATGGAATGAGACTCACCGGTTTTTTTTCTTTTCTTTTTTTTTTTTTTGGGTTCAACCAGATGTTATAAATACTAAAATAGCAGCTAAAATCATGGCAGACATTTAACCTACCAAAAACATGGAACCTTTAAGTAGCACGATACAGAGTGACATAATGTTAAAAATGTAAAATAAGATGAAATGAGACCCGCTGATTTTTTTTATTGCAACGAGTTGTCAAAAATACTAAACTATTAATTTATCGATAAGTATCATCTTTGAAAAAATAGTTCTTTCTTTTTCATTTTTTTTCTTTTGGGCTCAACGGGGTGTCAAAAATACTAAAATAAGAGATAATATAATTATAATTTTTTAACCTAACAAAAACTTGGAACCTTTAAAGTGAGAACGCAGAGTGACATGTTGTTAAAGAGAAAATTAAAATGGACTGAGACCCACCCGGTTTTTTTGTTTTTTTTTGTTCAACGGGCTGTTATAAATACTAAAATAGCAGCTAAATTCATTGCAGATTTTTAACCTACCAAAAACATGGAACCAACAAGTAGTATGATACAGAGTGACATTATGTTAAAAATATAAAAGAAGATGGAATGTGACCCGCTGATTTTTTATTGCAATAGGTTGTCAAAAATACTAATCTATTAATTTATCGATAATTATTATCTTTGATATTGTTTATCTTGCTTGTTATTCTATTTTCTTTTTCTTTTGGGTTCATGGGGTGCCCAAAATATTAAAATAGCAGTCAAAATCATCTAGGTATTTAACCTACCAAAGACTAAGAACCTTTTAAACAGGACGATGCAGAGTGACCTGCTGTTAAAGATTAAAATGCTTATCGAATGAGATCTTCTGTGTTTCTTTTCTTTTTTTAGTTTAACGGACTATCAGAAATATTTAAATGCAAAAGTTTTATTTTATATCCAATTTCAATAATTATTATTTAAATTATTTTTTACTGCGTGTATTTATGTCTTATCAATGTACTTTTTCTCATGTGTTGTTATTGACAACACGTCCATCAACCAAAACCATTGCAATGTTTTAACTTATTAAAGACTTAGAACCTTTTAAACAAGAATATGCAAAGTGACATGGTATTAAAAGTGAAAATGAAGATGGATTAAGAGTTGGGTTTCTTTTTCTTTTTCTTTTTTTTTTGTTTAATAGGGTGTCAAAAATATTAAAATAGCATACACAAACCATTACAATTTTTTAAACCTACCAAAGACTCGGAACCTTTTAAAATGAAGATGGAATGAGACTCACCGATTTTTTTTTGGTTCAACGGGCTGTTATAAATACTAAAATAGCAGCTAATTGCAGATTTTCAACCTACCAAAAACATGGAACCTTTAAGCAGGACAATACAGAGTGACTTAGCAGACAAAACCATTACAATTCTTTAACCTACCAAAGACTCGGAACGTTTTTAGTGAGATAACACAGAGTGACATATTGTTAAAGTTAAAAATAAAGATGAAATGAGACCACCGATTATTTTTTCTTTTTTAGGTTCAACGGGCTATTATAAATACTAAAATAGCATCTAAAACCATTGCATATCTTTAACATACTAAAAACATGGAACCTTTAAGCAGAGTTACATGATGTTAAAAATGTAAATGAATATAGAAAGAGACCCGCTATTTTTTTTTCAACGGGTTTGCTTGGGTTCAACAGGGTGCCAAAAATACTAAAATAGCATTCAAAATCGTTGCAGGTGTTTATCCTACCAAAGACTAAGAACTTTTAAGCAAGACAATGTAGAGTAACATGCTGTTAAGATGAAAATGTAGATCGAATGAGACCTTATGTTTTATTTTAGTTTAATAGACTGTCAGAAGTACTTAAATAGCAAAGCTTTATTTTCCTTTTTGTTTTGTGTTTTTTAATGGGCTGCCAAATATATATAAAAAAATAGCAAAGTCCTCTTTTAGATTCAATTTCAATAGTAGTTTTATATTGTTCTTCTTTTTTATATTTACGTGTTTTTATGTATTCTAGATTGAATAGGATTGAATTGTCTGATGGGATATGTTGCCGTTGGTGGCACCTCTATTAGCTAACACCTTTGCAGGTTTCTAACCTACCCAAAAATTTGGAACATTTATAGCAGAACGTTATAAAGTGATATACTGTTAAAGATAAAAATAAAGATGGAATAAAAAAACAAAATAAAATAAAAATGAAAATGGAATAAGACCTGCAAGTTTTTTCTTCTTCTTCTTCTTATTTATTTTTTAATGGATAACAAAAAATACTTAAATACCAGCCACAATCATTGCAGGTTTTTAACTTACTAAAGATTCAAAACATTATAAGAAGGACAACACAAAGTATAATGCTGTTAAAGATGAAAATGATTATGGAATGATTTTTCTTCTTTTTCTTTCTTCTCTTTTTGTTTGTTCAATGGGCAGCCAGAAAGACTAAAATCTCAGTCAATACTATTACATGTTTTTAATCTACTAAAGACTCATACCTTTTTAAACAAAACGATGTAGAGCGACATGCTGATAAAGATGAAAATGGAGATGGTCTCTCTGTTCAACGGGTCACCTGAAATACTAAAATATCACTCAAAACAATTGCAGGTTTTTAACCTATCACAGACTAAGAACCTTTCCAGAGTGAAGTCCATAAAAGGTCTTAAAATCCCTATTTTGTAACGAGGATGGTGAAAAATCTACACTTCGCACGACAAATGTAGTTTATAAGGAAGTACTTCATAATGTATAGTGCTATTATGAATGCTTTTACTACTATTTTTTATAATATGATGACAACTTGTGTCATTTTTCTCATATTATCTGTCTATACAATCGAATTTTGGTTATAGGTATTACTTTATTAGTAAATAAATAGTACATTTATTCAATCATCATTTATACAAATATTTAAATTTTTTTATATATAATTAACAGCGATGAAATATTTTGAATGTTAAATATTTCGAATGTCCAGTAGGTGAAACCATATTTTGTCCAACTCGGAAGTCAAAGATTTTCTTCAATGAAAGGGCTATCTTGGCACCTACCAACGATGAGGTTGATGCTATTAATGATCACATGTTGTCACTCTTAGTTGGCAAGACAACGGTGTATTATAGTTTGAATTGCATAGATATGACCGCAAGGTCAGTAAACCCGGAGGATGATGCAGTCTATACGACAGAATTCCTCAACTCCATAAAATGTTCGGGAATGCCAAACCACAAAATAACCCTAAGAGACAGAGTCCCGATAATACTTCTTCAAAACCTTGATCAACCATGAGGATTATATAATGGTACAAGAGTCCAAGTCAATGATTTGGGACAACGGGTTATTCAGGCGACAATCATATCAGGAGCTAATATTGGGAAAAAAAGGTTTCATTCTCCGTGTGGGGATTAGTCCCGCTGATGAGAGGATGCCAATTAAACTGAAGAGGAGGCAATTTTCAATTGTTGTATGCTTTGCTATGACAATAAACAAGAGTTAGGGACAGTCTCTGTCTGAAGTCGGGTTGTTTTTGCGTCGTCCAGTTTTTACACATGGGCAACCTTAAGTCATTTTTTCAAGAGTAAAATCCAATAAAGGTCTTAAAATCCTTATTTGTACTAAGGATGGAGAATTCCACAATCGGACGACAAATGTGGTTTACAAAGACGTCCTAGAAAATATATAATTCCTGATATGTTGCTTTTAGAAGTATTGCTTATTTTGATATATTTTTATATGCCCTTAGTTTTGTCCGTTTTATCTTAAGTATAAACAAAACTAATCTTTGTTATACACCTTCGTTTTTATTTTTATATCTTGAAATTATATACTCATATTTAACGTAAAAAAACAAAGGATAATTTAATTCTAATTTGCTCACCGTGCAACTCACGGGTAAAATACTAGTATTTTGAAAAAAATAAGTTTTCCTCCAACGACATCTATTTTAGAATGGAGGGAGTAACAAAAAAACTTTAAATGAAGTTGGGACATTTTAAATTTAATTTTGGAATTTACAATTAAACGAAGATCAACACAAAAAATGAATAGGACAATATTAGTTATTCATATGGTCAAATTATGGGTGGAAGAGACCAAAGTAACCACATGTGAAAAGAGTAAATTACGCAAGAAATCAATATAAAAATTAATGGAAAATCTTAATTTCGCACAATTATTTAATAAAAATTTCTCTATGATTATGAAATAGTTATGAAGTATCTATTAGTTTTCTTGTTTAAATTTAATTAAGAAATAAATAGAATAAATGCAAAATTTATAAGCATGCTCATAAATGCAAAAGGCCTCAGATTATCGATCCATTTGATTTTCTGAAAAGTCAAGGGCTGCTTAGAAAATAGCAATTAGAACAATTAGTTGAAATAGGGTAGGTATGCCATATTTTAAATTTCAAGGACTAATTAAATGATATATAAAACATTGAATCAAAAAAAAAAATTCTTCTTTTTCCTCGAATTACCGGCGAAGCTGCAACTCACCACCGATCGAAATTAAAAAAAAAAAAAGGACTTAAACTTAGGCACCGATCTCTCCTTTCCCAGGCCCCCTCACACCGAAAACCACCGGAGGAGGGGGTGGCTGAGATTGAAAAATGGAGCCACCAAGGGGCTCGACCAGAAAAATGGAGCCGGGTGTTGGGGGGGGAGGGGGGGGCTCGAGACCCCCCAAGCCCCAATGTGGTTCCGCCCCTGCTCAAATGGCCAACGGGACCTTAGAATTTTTTTTAATTTCGATTTAAGGAGTACTCCCTCCATTTTTTTTATGTCTTTATAGAGAATTAATTAAAATCAAGAATACATTAATTAATATAGTTAAAATACAAATTTATCCTTATTAATTGTCTATAAAATCCATCACAAACCAATAGAAATTCATTATTAATATTATTTTATTTCCGATGTAAGGGCAATTTTGGTAAAAAGTAGTCAAATGTGCCTCGATTTGTGAAAACGACATATATTTAAAAAATATTTACCAAATCCTAAAACGACATATATTTCAAAATGGAGGGAGTATTATATAAAATCTTCTCAGTCCCAATACTACCTCCATTTTGTTTTTTATTTGTGCTTTAGTGTGAATCCAATTTTTCTTTATCTGTCGCACTTCATTTTTCAATGCAGCATTAAATGTAGTTTTCTCAATTTCAACCTTATATCTTTCTACTTTTAATAACATATATTAATGATAACTATCTATTTTTTTGCTTCAATTTCAAATTTTTGTACATTTCCAATCCTTTTCATTGGGGGCAAGAAAGGTATTATATTTAAAATTAATTTATCAATCGTTATTTTCTTAATACATGTGCAAACTCAAAAGTGACAGATAAAAGAAAATGAAGGTAGTATATTTTAATAAATTATAGTAAAAAAAATATAATTGATAAATTACAATGTTTATTAGTACTATTTTAGGGGACTAATAGGAAGCGCGGAAGGAGTAACAAAATCAAGGGCCTGACGGCTGACGGTTTGATACTTGATACGTTGCCGGCGAATAAGCCGGCAAGAGAGTTCGTGTAAAGTTGACATTTGTATATCGAAAAATTCAGGTGATGATTGTGCAGTAAAAAAGAGCAGACAGCTTTATCAGAGTTTGCAAATCAATGATTGCAACTTCTGTGGGGGACTTTATTCTTTCTTCTTTTGATTTTTTTTCGATGCCAGAATTGATTTATTTTAATTTAATACTAATATATGGAGGTACAAGTACAACTGTATACACAAAAATCAAGTGGTTTTGTTACTTTTGTGGATGATCGAAATGGACAAGCACAATTATTTGTTAGGTCACTTTATAGCTTTCTTTTCCTTTTTTTTTTTTTTTGCTCCTTTTTTCGCTCGCTTACTAGTGAAAGGAGAATAAAAATGAGATAGTAGGATTCATAATTTAATTTACTTTCCATTTTAATTTTATTTAAATTACCATTCTTTAAATAGAGGTATGAATGATGGCATGACCAATGACTACTTTGCATTTTGCCTGAAAGCGGAATTAAATTACGGAGGCACAAAATTTTATTGAAAAAGTATTAGTTTAAAACGATATGTTATAATGTAAGATTAAAAAATACTCAATTGCGCAACATATATACAAAGAGGTAATCCAAATGACTAGGGAAATTGAACTGTATGGCTATCAAATTACGATGAATTTAGGAAACTGTAGCAAGTTCTCTTGTTCAAAACATTATTTTGTGTAATGATCATCAAACTTTTATTTTCATACTCACTTCTCACATCACCTTATTATAGTTTTAAGATTAACATAATTTCCAACCAACAGCTTAAAAAGAAACCAGAATAGAGATGATCTAGCCAACTGATGACTTATAAAAAATAAGGATAGAAACCATCTAAAGACAAAAAAGTACGTAACACGACGGTTATTGCTCGCGTTAAAAATTGAACTAAAACATATAACAAAGAGAAAGAAAAACAAAGGAATGTTTTATTTTAAGACAAATCTAATTGTATTAATAAATTCAGAGAAATTTCATACTCTTTCTATCCTAAAATAATAATTCACATTGAGTTATCTTTGATATTTGTATTGGAAGGATGCGAGTAATAACATCATACATCATACCAAAAGGATTCAGTTGATGATCCAAAGGGTTGAACCACAATTTCTATAGTGAGGAGTATCATCTTCTTTTTGTCAAAGTTTTTTAAAAAAAGGGGCGTTGAGAGTATCAATTTTCTTTTTCCATATGCCGACATTTCACATTACTTATTGTTGTAATTTTTGTAATAATAATAAAAATAATTTCTTTCCAAAAAAAAAATAAATAAATAAAATTTGAGTGCGGAATGGGTGGGAGAAGAGGGAGGAGAGAATGGACAGAGTGGTGGGGACCTGAAAATCACAAGTTTTTAAGGAGAAAGAGAAGCCAATTTCTAAAAATTGGTGGTGGTTTTTCTCTTTCAACTTTCCTTTTTCTCTTCCTCTTCCCCCTTTCACCCCTTTTCACTTTCCTTTCTTCCCCTTCCTTCCAAGCCACCACCCACCACCGCCGGCAACAATCCCTTTTTCTTTCAGCAAAGATATCATATATATAACTAATCTTAGCTTACTTATTTTTTTTCTTTCTGGGTTGGAGATATAATCCAATCTTATTTGAATAAACCCAAAATTCAGAAAGAAACAAACAAAAAAAAAAAAAACAACAACAAGAAGAATAAGAAACAAACTGATTAATATCTTGCTGTGTTAACCTGTGGGAGGGGGAAGAAAGATTCTTTTGGCAAAAACCCAGAACAGAAAAAGGAAAGAAAAGCATCTTTTTTTTTACCAAAGAAATTTTGTATATTTTGATGGCTGCTGTTGACACGAATGCTGCTAATAAGAGCAGGAAATTAGCCATCAATCTTTCCCTTTTCCCTTTCACTGAAGCTCCTGTCAAAGCATCAATCAAATCTCCCAACATTTTTGAAGAACCAAACGGTGTTGTTGGGCTTGGAATTCTTGCAGCCATGAAACCCAGAAGCAAAAGCAAGGATGAGTCTTGTTCTCAAGATCCTTCTTCTAAGAGGGCTGCCATTCTGGTTAAATCACCAAGATCATTGTCAAACCCAATCCCTATTCTGAGCAACAGAGTTTCCTCTCCTTTCTCAGCTAAGAATGATGTGAAGAGGAAGATAAGTGCTGAGGAAATGGAATTGTGTGAGGAGTATACATGTGTGATATCACATGTTGGTGACAATCAGATTAAGAAAAAGGAGTATTTTGACAGTACTAATGTTGTTATTACTGGAACTGAGAAAATTAGTTCTGTGAGTAACAATAATTTGGTGGGTTCCCGGGTAGGTGAAGCTCCACAATTTCGAGTTGCGGATTTTTTGAATTCATGTTTTCTTTGCCAGAAACAGCTTCATGGGCTGGATATTTTCATGTACAGGTACACGATTTGATTAGAGATTTACTGTCATTTAATATATATATATATATATATATATATATATATATATCATTAATCTGTTTCCATTTCTGGGCGCAACTGTCCTGGCATGTGTGTTTTAGTTTATATGTCCTGTGATTGATTTCTTTTGCTGTGTTTAAACCCGGGATCTTTTCAATACTTTGTTCAACTACCCTTAATTGTATTGTAACTCTTCATTATGGAGTTGCTTGATGAGTTTTGGGATATGAGATTTGAGGAATTGTGCAGCTGAATTGGGAAGATCTTATTTTGCTTGCTGGAATTTTATTAGTGATTTCTCAGAGCTAGTTTCAGAGAAAAACCAATGTGTTCTGTTTTTCCAAGTATAACCTTTTGATGCTTTTATGATTAAAGATTGGTTTGTTGAGAATTATTGCTGATAGAATTGACCACCCATACAGTTCATGGGCCAGCTCTGATAATTATTAGTTATGACCCAATGTCTTTATGATATTTTGCGGATAATAATACATAAACTATACAATCCAGTTGATATCCTGTGCCAGTTGTTTGTGCATCCTGCCCCACCATTTCATATAATCTCTTATTATGGCTATCTTGATCTTTCTTTTCTCATATGTGTTGTTAGTTGGAGCAGATTCTGGCATCTTTCTTTTGCATTTAGTTTCAGTTTTGTCATCTGATCTTTAACTCGTGGCTATTAAAATATGAGCCTCTGTTGTTTAGTTGGCCATATTCAGATACGTTTATGGGAATCTTGGCCAACAGTATGTGGTTGTACATTAACAAGATAGAAATGAATGCTCTTTCTTATTGTACATAAGGTCGTTAGAAGCAAATGTTTCAATGGGAACTTTGTAATTTAATGGTAAGTTGAATGAATAGACTGAAGGCATTTTGCTAATGCCCAAGTTTACTTGTTCAACATTTACAGGCACCTTCCGATATCTATTTTAGAATGTCATGTTAACTCCATTCACGGTAGATTCAGCAATAAAGGAAATTGGGGTTTATTTATTTGGTTCCAGATAGTTTTTTGGGTCTAGTAACCACTTCTTTGCGATTTCGGCTTATAATTTCTAAGTATGGGCCGTCTTTGTATCAGCTAATGTTCTGATGCCTGTTTTTTCCTGTCTTTTTTGCTATTGGGACTTAGGAAAAAGTTTTTGCTGATGTTATCTATGTGATTACTAGTCAGCATCAGACAATTGTTTTCCCGGCTTTTAGAGTGACATTTATTTCATATTTTACACTGCTGCATTGATGTTCTGTTGTGTAATTTGCAAGGCCTTTGCATATTTTCCCACCATTTTTTAATAGTGTGCTCTATTTTGGTGTCAGTGCCCCCTTTTTTTTTGGGGGTGGTTGTGAAAAGGTATGCAATATGAGTGTTAAAATGATGCAAAATGCTTCTCTTCAATTCAGCTACTTACTTCTGGAACACTCAAATTATGTTTATGTAGCTGTCAGTTTCTAACTTTACTCAAGTAGACTGATTACAACAATTCTTTAATCAATGTTTTGTAATGAGGATGAAGTAATACTTGGATTAAATGCTAAGAAGATTGATCTTAGAGTGTCTGCTAAGATATCGTGCAACTTGGAATTCATGAAAGATTCTGCCGTGTGTTTTACTTACCTTGGTCTTTTGGATATCAGCTATTGTTTAATTGTTTTCTTACAACTAAAACTTCCCTTATGATATCTTGTACTCCCTCGTTTTAGTTCAACAATGGACGGAGTATCATGTTATTGCCCGACTAGTATTAGCATTCGAAGGAACATTCAATTCTTTCTTAAGACTAAGAGAGTAATGTTGAGTTCAGCACATTAGGGTAGCTGAAAAGAGAGTAAAATATTTTCCCCCTTGTATCATCTGAAGTTAACCTTGTGAAAATATTACTGAGTTTGAAATTTTACTTCCTATGGAAGACATAAACTGAAAAACTTCCATAGCTTTTGGAAGCTTTGCATATCTCAGCTTAATCCAAGTTGACTACTGGTTTATCTGCAGTGGAAATACTGGTTTCTACATCTGTGTTGCGTGTACACATTTACTATTTTGCATCTTGCGATTGAAGAATGATCAATTTTCTTCCTGAGATCTGATCCCGTGTTGTTCTATGCAGAGGAGAAAAGGCTTTTTGTAGTGTAGAGTGCCGTGGCAAGCAAATCACGATAGATGAACGCAAAGAAAAGTGTGTTTCAGGAATGGCCAAGCCCCACGAGTACTCTGCTTCTCCATGCCCTAGTCCCATGCAGTTTTTGGCAGGCGTCGCAGCAGCTTGATGATTAGTGTTGTATATCACCTTTGTATACATATCTAAACCTTAATAGCAATGGCGGATTAAAACACGTAAATAAAGTTTGTTCTTGTCATAAGAAAGCTCCATGTTCTGGAGCTTAAAGATAGATAAATGTATTTTGATTTTGTCAGCCCCGGAAAAAAGTGGCGTTATTTGTAAAGTGGAGAAAATGAGTCCTCAGGGGGAATCAGAGAGTTTTTTCTTCAAGAGGAAAAGAATGTACCATAAGTTAATAGGTCACTGAAAGATTGACATTGCCATTCGGCATGATGCTGTATCTTCATGGTTAAGTTAAGCAACCAATAACGAAAGCTATGAGATTATGACTGTTAATTCAGATTCGAGACCATGATTGGTTCGGTTCTTACCTTGATTTTAATTTTAATAAGAGAGAAATGTAATTTGTTGAAGGCCATATTTGTAAGGGGTGGAAGCTACTTTCCTCTCTCCAATTTTTTTTTATTATATTATTATTATTATTTTGTTTGAAAACCTTGCTCTCTCAACACCTCTATTCTTTTTCTTTTTTTTTTTCTTTTTTTTTTCTGCTCTCTCATCACCTCTATTCGTTGAGATTAATATTTTCTTCACTCGAATAATTAATTATTTTGTCTATGAAATTAAACACAACCAGATTGTGTATTATGAAGCTCTCCTACTCCTACAATCAACAAAACCTCGCATTGTAACAATATGTTGAAATTAAATGGCATGTTGAATAACACAACACTACAAAAAGAGAGGCTAAAATCAAAGACTATTAATCATGCTACCTACTCAAACAAACCTTTTTTTGACTTGGGAACATGGTTTTTATTCTCCTACCTAGTTTAGCCTTGAAACCTATGGATTTCCTTAAAAACCATTTGACACCAACTCCCGCCTAACTTTCTTCAGGAGACCTTTTTATAGAGATACCAATTTCACTTCATTTCTCCAAACTAACCATTTTCTGATTTTCCTGTGCCTGTTCAGCAACCATGGCCAGACTACTCACAAATTCCATCTTGTTTACTCTCTTAACTTTAGCAATTCTGTCATTCAACAATCTGAAATACACCCTTTTTCTTGCAATCCCATTTCTTGCGTTACGTAATCATTATCTCCAGTTCAGGAGATCAAAGGGTGAAGAATTCCCACCAGGGCCATTTTCCATTCCAATCTTTGGAAACTGGCTGCAAGTTGGGAATGACTTGAACCACAGAATCCTTTCCAAGATGTCTCAAACATATGGTCCCGTGTTTTTACTCAAACTCGGGTCGAAAAACTTGGTTGTGGTATCTAATCCAGAGCTAGCAACACAAGTTTTGCACTCACAAGGAGTGGAATTTGGCTCCCGCCCGCGTAATGTCGTGTTTGATATCTTCACAGGAAACGGACAAGACATGGTTTTCACAATCTATGGCGAGCATTGGCGGAAAATGAGGCGTATAATGACGCTTCCATTTTTCACCAACAAGGTTGTTCATCAGTACAGTGACATGTGGGAAGATGAAATGGATTTAGTCCTTCATGATTTGAGAAATGACGAAAAGGTGCAAACAGAAGGGATTGTTATTAGGAAAAGGTTGCAGTTGATGCTCTATAACATCCTTTACAGAATGATGTTTGATGCGAAATTCGAGTCACTGAGTGATCCAATGTTTATTCAAGCTTCCCAGTTCAATTCCGAAAGAAGCCGCTTGGCACAGAGTTTTGAGTACAATTATGGAGAATATATTCCTTTGCTTAGGCCATTCTTGAGAGGGTATCTGAACAGATGCAGGGATTTGCAGAGAAAAAGATTGGCATTCTTCAACAATCATTATGTTGAGGAAAGAAGGTAACACATGCTTTTCTGATTGGAAATTCGTGCCGTTTCTAATTATCTTAACAAAGTTTGCATTTCACTTGCATAGCAGTTTCTTGAAAAAGAAAAAGAAGTTAATTTTGATGACACTTGCTACAATACTTATCATAATCAGTTGTAGTTGTTAAAATGCCTCAGTTTTCAGTAGTGGAAAACAAAAGGTGAGACAGATGATCAAGTAATTCAGTCTCTTACCAACTAGTCTTGCTGATCAAATGCATATCCTATCTGACTATATTAACGTCTCGTACAGGAAAATAATGGCAGAAAATGGAGAAAAACACAAGATAACATGCGCCATTGATCACATAATTGATGCTGAAAAGAAAGGAGAGATCAGTGCTGAAAATGTTCTGTACATTGTTGAAAACATCAACGTCGCAGCAATTGAAACCACCCTCTGGTCAATGGAATGGACTATTGCAGAGTTGGTGAACCATCCAAACGTTCAAAACAAAATCAGAGACGAAATCCGTACGAACCTCAAAGGAAAACCAGTCACGGAATCAAACCTTCATGAGTTACCATATTTACAAGCCACTGTCAACGAGGCACTGAGACTCCACACACCGATACCTTTGCTTGTGCCGCATATGAACCTTGAAGAGGCAAAGTTGGGAAAGTACACCATTCCTAAAGAATCAAAGGTGGTTGTGAATGCATGGTGGTTGGCTAACAACCCTGAATGGTGGAAGAACCCAGAGGAGTTCCGTCCGGAGAGATTCTTGGAGGAAGAGAGGGGCACTGAGGCTGCCATTGCTGGTGGTAAAGTTGATTTTAGGTACTTGCCTTTTGGGATGGGGAGAAGAAGCTGCCCCGGGATCATTCTTGCATTGCCTATTTTAGGACTAATGGTGGCTAAATTGGTGACAGAGTTTGAAATGCAGGCTCCTTCAGGGTTGGACAAGGTTGATGTGAGCGAAAAAGGAGGACAATTCAGCTTGCACATTGCAAAACATTCCACTGTTGTTTTTAAGCCAATTAAGGCATAGAATTGAACAACGCTCTGTCTGTATCTAGGGTTTGGATTACTTTCGAATCCTAATAAGGATGCTAATTTGCTGGAGTATACTCCTTCAGTTCTTTCTAAAATGTTGTTCAGAAGCACTGACAAAAAGGCAGTTATTGATACTTCCGGTTCACAAAAATGTCTGAAGAGAAATATAGCAACTGTAGTTCTGTTGGCATTCATCCACAATCTTCACCCTTCATAGACTATTTACATGCTATCATTAACATTTTAAAGCAACAGACTTTAAGAGATCTCCACAAGTTTAACACAAAAATGAGAAGGTGAAATATTAATAAGAGCCACGAGATATCCTACTTCTGATTAAGTATGTCCACCATATTCATTATTTGTATCCATGTGAAAATATTGCTTTTGATCCATGCATTTAATGCAAATGTTTTTTGTTAACCCTCAAGGCTGGCTCCATTCACACAAAAATAGAACATTGGAAATTCAAAAGGAAAACCATATAAAATCAAACGAAAAGCTGGGATAAGGATTTTGAACAAGGTTGGTTTCAGTAATTTGAAAAGCTAAAAAGAAGTAGATAGATAAATTTAACAGTACAAAATAGAACTATAAGCCTCGAACAGAATTAGATTCCAGAAGCAAACTTTCGACCACACAGGTTGATTCCAATAGTAAGGCTTCGACTAGACAGCTCCTTTGTTTACAGTGCCACATGTTCAAGCATCCATTGGCTGCGGTGCAGATGCCAAAATATCAAGCAGCGAGTTCTGTGGTTCCAATTCTTCATGCCATAGAGGAAGGGAGTCACCAGGGTAGAAATTTCTGGTTGCCCCTTCAGAGTTAATCTGCAGAAAGAGAGATTTGATTTAACAAACTGAAAAATACAACTAACATCTGCTGTGTCCAGCGATATATAAGAGTGTGATGAGTTTTACAGTGAATTTCTACAATAACTCAGATGGCATGCATCCATTTGTAATCAATTAAGTCATTTGGTAACTGTGTCAACCAAGTAACTACAACTTTCACTATTTAAGAAGAAAATCAGGATATGAAGTCCATTATCTTTCATTCAACAAAGGGTTCGGTGTGAAGAAGAAAATCAGAATACGAAGTCAAAAAACAATGAGTTTGGTCTGAAGAAGAAAATCAGAATACGAAGTCTTAAAGCCATTGCTTTTAGACAATAAAGTGAACTTGATGCGAATATATGCGCGGGGAAAGAAGTTACTCACAGTCACAGTCCGGACTACACCACCACTCGCACCATCTCTAGCAATGGCGAGAGAGACAGCTTTGACCACCAGCTCCTGCAAAAATAATAGCAGCTATCAGAAAGACATGCAGTAAACCTAGCTTATAAAAAAAAAATCATAATCATGAAGTGGGTAAATGTATATTTGCGGTTGTAATCCATAAAAAACAATATGTAGCATGCATTATGCAAATAAACCATGATTGGGCTAAAACAAAACTTCCGCTAGGAGACAAAGGAGATATGCCAAACAGAAAATGCAGCACTTTGAAATGATAGACAAGAGAAAAAGGGGCCCTTTGATGCTGTTTAATTCCCTATCTATAAAACACCAAAACCTGAACACATATGCAACAAAGTTTTTTTAATAATGATAATGCTGACTTCAGGATTGAACAACTTCTGCTCACACAGGCACAAACCTCGGCTTCTTGTTGAGTCATTCCTTCCTTCCATTCTTTGTCAAAAAAACCATACAAGTATGTAGATCCCGAACCTGTACACGTGAAAGTAAAGGTCAAGAAGTTATTTCAACTATCAAAAGTCATAATTCAATATATTCTTAAATCCACAAACTGACTGTTCGAATAAAAACGAGTTCCAACAAAAATTAAATAGTGCATTCTTTTACTAGTTTTTTATATAGTATTTAATAAGCATCAAAAGAAACTACGAACTAGCAGAGATTGGTTGGCAAAAATAAAACTTACCTCCAATACTGAAAGGCTGCTCAATTAGTGTTCCTCCAAGTGGTACACCATAGATCTTTCCCCCTTCATATTTGTCCCACCCACCAACAATCATTCCAGCTTGTAGCATGTTCTATAAAATTCAATGTGATCGATAAGCTAGTGGACTGATTACAGTATGGCATTCAAACTTTAAGCTATAAACCTAAAGTTACAAGAAATTAAAACATAACACATGACTTAAACGACAATCTTTTTTAACCAAGAAAGATCCATTTAGTCCACAAGATACAACCAGGACAGGGCCTAAAGAGAAGCAAAGAGACAGCAACGAACTTCATTACATTTAATGAGAGCATTCATCATTCTTGAATGCTTATTCAGAACTTTTCCAGTCACAGAGTATCAATTATAAAACACACAAGAAAAATGGTTTTCACAGTTTACAAGAAACAGATTGAACTTCAGCCCAAAATTTGTAAGAAAGTGGTATGTAAAATTTGACCTTGTTATTGTATGCAATCAACCTCACGAGATTTGCAGCAACTTTGACTGTTGCAGGTTGCCCAAGCTGAATCCTGCATCAATTACACAATCAAGAATCACATATGTTTTCAACAGGTGTTAAGAGGCAGAAGCTACATCGAAAGATGCTGGTGTTAAACAATATTAGGGCCACGCCTCTCAGGTATAACACAATATAACAATGTCACTTACGTATGTTGATCAAGATAGTAGCGGACATAATCTGAAATAATCTGTGTATCAGCTGCCTGAAATTGCAGAATTTAAGTAAATAAACAAACAAAACCCAAATATTCTACTGAAAAACTGTTGATATGAGAGACGAAGTTACAGGCCCAGTAGAAAGCACAATAGTAGAAATAGCAAGATGGCAACATCCCAACAAAGAGCAGTCATTTGAACATCAAGTCTTGATACTATTGTATCATTTGTCGACAAAAGGATTAACCATCTATACACAATTAATTTATAATGACCAATGCATCCAACCTTCAAGTTTAACACTAATATGATACTCCATTTTAAGCCCATTCTTTAGCATTTTTGCTTTCAAACAATGTGTTAGCCAACGTAAGCTTTTAGAACTACCAGAACTTGCAGGCTAAAATCTTTTGGATGGCTACTTTATCAGGATTTGATGTTAGCTATGGATTATCTTTTAACATGAAGAAGGTTTAGCATGTACATGATACGTTATCAGCTGAAGTACATCAGTATTTGTCGATATGTCAAGTCTGTTATAAGAATACCCACAAACCCTTGATAAAAATCATCGGACACAGAAGAAATACCTAAGGCTCTAATTCTTGAAAATACAGTGAGTCAAAGAATACAGGTTGCTGAAATAGCTAAGAATTTCACTTTCGAAAGGAACAATGCCTCCAAAATACAAACTTTATACCCTTGAATGAAAGGGAACCCGGTAAGGATTATGCAATTGTAACTCAAACCTAATTATGGAATGAAAGTTCTTAAATTCATAACAAAAAAGAAAGCAAGAGAAATAACTTACCGATCCAGAGCGGCAGATATACACGTTGTCAGTTAGCTGCGTGATTTTGTCGGATGCCCTATTAGCAACATACATACCTAAGCAAAAAAAATTACCCAAGAGTGAAATCATAACAATTTCTAATTACATCTCTCAAAGAAACACATTCAAAACAAGGCAAAAGTGAAGGTTATATAAACTACCAGTGCTGGTACGTGAATCTGCTCCGAGCACAACTCCGCCGTTGTAGGTAACTCCGATGATGGTAGTTCCCGTGGACACAGGTGAACTGAAATCGACGGCCGCGTCCATTGTTTCAGACTGGTGATGACTGTAATAAAGCCCTAATCTCCAAAGTTGACTGTTCCCTCAGCCCTAATTCTCAATCTCCTTCTCCGAAGCTGATGCCCGTCGGCCGATCAGTAAGGTTTTTTGTTCCGGCGAGGGCAAAAGGTATAATGCCTGTCGAAGTTTCACTGCGTGTGTGTGTGTGTATATGAGAATTTTCTTTGGGCCTTAATCCCGTTGGGCTATTTATTGGATTAGACTTTGTTTTATAGAGTTTTATCTTAACTATCAAGAAAGGTTATTATTGTCATTTGAATTTCTCATTTTTTTACCAAAAAATTTCTCATTTTCCTTTTCCTAGTGCTATTATAGAACTCGGATAGTCGGTTCTCCTGCATCTAGCTTCTTCTTTTTTTTTTAAACAAAAAAATTAATTAATTAAAAGCGAATATTATTTTGTAGACATGGTATTCTATTCAAATATCTTATTGTAAATGTAAAAAAAAAAAAAAAAATTCTTATTGTAATTGTACTTGTACATGGATGTATATGTAATATGATGATTATATGATGATAAACCAACTAGGAATGTTTCACCAAACTATAATTATAGTTGTTTTAGCATCAACCAAACTAATATTGATGGTGTTTAGGATGATTAAAATTAAAGAAATAGAGAATTAATTAAAATACGAGAAAATAGATATTTTGGTAAGAAATTTCATGTCTTTTCCTCAAGTGGAAACATTAACGTATTGAATTAGTTTGCAAATGACTATTGATTCACAACAAATGATTTTACTTTTTTTTTTTTATTTGAAAGTCTTAGACAATTTGTCATTTATATGTGATAATTTAATATTTTTTCCCTTCACTTTTGGCATATATATTTATTTGACATTCGGTACGTGAGAAATTTAGATCCATCAAGGGTAAGTCACGTAATTGAATTTCACGGCACTTTGAAGGAGAATAGGAAAAAAAAATACAAATAAAAACGCAGGAGCAAAATGTAAAATGTAAAGAATAATGTAGGTGTTTTGTTTACTCTTATTACAAAAATTTCCCGTGCCAAAAACTGGCCCAATCAAAGAAGCCCAACCCAAGCCCTAAATCTCGTTAATACGCCAACTTGTCTTAAACCCAATTTCGAAAAATCGACCGCCACCCTCCGCCACAACACAGCGGCGATTGGTAGGCTCGGAGCAATTTTTTCCCAACTCCTCGCCGACATAACATTATCGGCGGCGGCGGCTATTTAATATTTAGCTCAACGGTATACATCGGCTTCGTCGAAGTATTTGAACCTTAGCTCATCTCCGGCTGCTTGCAACTGCTTCTTCGTTTGGAGCTTCTAGTTTTGTCCCGTAAGAAAACTCCCCCTATTCAACTTGAAAACCCTGCATGTTGTCAGCTCCCCCAGGAGTTCTAATATGTTTATTTCATTTTTTTTTTCTTTTTCACTTATTTGATTGTTGCCGCTGAGAATAGTGTAACATTGTTTGTGAAATTTCGTAATTCATAGTTTTTGGCTGGTGGTGATTCTGGTCTTGTGTGTATAGTTATTGATGTTTTGTAGAAGTTGATATTAAGTTAGATAAATTGGAGCAATTTGTTGAATTTTGTTCTAAGGCCTATTTCTTTTTAGGTGTACGTTGGCAGAAGTTTTTGTTGGACTTGGAGTGCTCTTTGCAGGAGTGCAACATTGGTTATGGAGGATCCATCCATTAGTGGTAAGCCTAAAGATGCTGAACTTGAATTGGCGAGTAAGGAAGATACACAGAATGGTGGTAAACGTAAAGAGCCCGAACCTGACCTGGAGAGTAAGGAAAATTCGAAGCAGGATTTGCCTCCCAAAAGGCGGAATATAGCTCGGACATGTATCCACGAGGTTGCTATTCCGAGTGGGTATAATTCAACTAAGGATGAGTCAGTTCATGGGACTCTTGCAAATCCTGTTTATAACGGGGAGATGGCGAAAAAGTACCCATTTAAGCTCGACCCATTTCAGGAAGTTTCTGTGGCATGTTTGGAGCGAAACGAGTCAGTTTTGGTGTCAGCACATACTTCTGCTGGCAAAACTGCTGTTGCTGAGTATGCAATTGCTATGTCCTTCAGGAATTCTCAGAAGGTTATATATACTTCTCCATTGAAAGCTCTTAGTAACCAGAAATATAGGGAGTTGGAACATGAGTTCAAAGATGTTGGGTTGATGACTGGTGATGTAACTATATCTCCAAATGCAAATTGTCTGGTAATGACAACAGAGATTCTCCGGGGAATGCTTTATAGGGGTTCTGAGGTTCTTAAAGAAGTTGCATGGGTTATATTTGACGAGATACATTACATGAAGGATCGCGAAAGGGGTGTTGTTTGGGAGGAAAGTATAATATTCCTACCTCCTGCAATTAAGATGGTTTTCTTATCAGCGACAATGTCAAATGCAACTGAGTTTGCTGAGTGGATATGCAACATCCATAAGCAACCATGTCATGTTGTTTATACAGATTTTCGACCTACTCCTTTGCAGCATTATGTATTCCCAATGGGTGGATCTGGTCTGTATCTTGTGGTGGATGAAAATGAGCAGTTCAGGGAGGATAACTTCCTGAAATTGCAAGATACTTTTACTAAGCAAAAGGTGGGCCATGGCAGCATGGGTTCAAATTCTAAAGGAAATGGAAGAATTGTGAAGGCCGGAAATGCTTCTGGGGGATCGGACATTTATAAGATTGTTAAGGTGATTATTCATTCTTAACTATCACCTCTCTAGCTTGCCTTTTCTGATGTAAAGTTTGCATTTTTGTGGATATTATGAAGTAGTACCCTTGCTGCTCCTGGACCAACTATAGTGCTGGCATTACATCATTGAGTTGCGATATGTTGATTTTTTTGCTGTTGATTTGGTCATCCTTTATCATTTCATTTAAGATTTTCTTTTCCTTTTTTCCATTTTCTGTATTTATTTGCTTATAACAAGAACTTTTTGGTTCCTAGTCTTTTCCTAACAGTACTCAAAATTTGAATGTTTAATTATATTACAGATGATCATGGAGCGTAAATTTCAACCAGTTATAATTTTCAGTTTCAGTAGAAGAGAATGTGAACAACATGCAATGTCAATGGCCAAACTTGATTTCAACACCCAGGAGGAGAAAGATAATGTGGAGGAGGTTTTTCGTGGTGCAATGCTCTGCTTGAATGAGGAAGATAGAAGTTTGCCAGCTGTTGAGCTGATGTTACCACTGCTTCAACGGGGCATTGCAGTTCACCATTCTGGTCTGCTTCCTATTATAAAGGAAATGGTAGAAATCCTCTTCCAAGAAGGGCTCGTTAAGGCCCTTTTTGCCACTGAAACGGTATTGTTTACTACCGCTTTGCATGTGTTTTTTTCCCCCAAATGCATACTGCTCCCCCTTGATCCGGAAAAGAATGCACAGCTTGTAGGTTGTATCTTGAAAATACACAAAGGAGAATCTTGAAAGAAGGATAGACGTTTTTCTTTCAAATGGAAACTTAAGGTCCGTGTTTTTTAAACATGGACCGCAAGTTATTGGAGCAATCATACAGTATCTGGAATAAGTTGGTTTAATAAAATTTGGAGTTGTTTTCATTCTCTTAATTGCTGGTGTTTTGTGTTTTTGTAGTTTGCCATGGGATTAAACATGCCGGCCAAAACAGTTGTTTTTACAAGTGTTAAAAAATGGGATGGTGACAGTCATCGATATATTGGTTCTGGTGAGTATATTCAGGTGAGTTTTTTCGTTACCTTAAATGTGTGATCATATGATGTTTTCTTTTGGCGTCCCGTTTATGAAATTTTAGGTGTTTCTTACAGATGAGTGGAAGAGCTGGTCGTCGTGGAAAAGATGAACGAGGAATTTGCATTGTAATGGTTGATGAACAGGTGGTTTCTGTCTATCAATGACTATGCATGAGTTCTATTTTGTAACATTCGTTCATAACAGCTGCTTTAATCCCTGCTGCATAATCACTGTGGCCACCTCTTCCTGCTGCTTAAACCTTTATTTTCCCCCATTGGGGGGGGGGGGTTGGGAAGGGGACGTTGCCTGCCTGTTTGGATTTTATGTGCTAGGTTACTGACTCCTGCACATTTTCATTTGGATTATAGATGGAGATGAATACACTTAAGGACATGGTTTTGGGAAAACCGGCCCCATTGGTCAGTACATTCAGGTTGAGTTACTACACAATCTTGAACTTGATGAGCCGAGCTGAGGGACAATTCACAGCTGAGCACGTTATCAAGAATTCATTTCACCAATTTCAACATGAAAAGGTTCCATCCTGATATTGTATTACAAAAATTTAATGAAAGAAAAATGAGAAAAGTTACTTTGGGGCTCTCCATATTAATGGTTGAAAGTTTCTTGTGGGCTGTAGGCTTTGCCAGATATAGGCAAGAAAATTTCTGCGCTGGAAGAGGAAGCTGTAAAGCTCGATTCATCAGGAGAGGTGCAACACTTATTTATTTTTTCCTATACACATTACTTTTTGGATGTACTTGAGCCTGGAAACTTTTTTGCTGGTCTCTCATAGGCTGAAGTTGCTGAATATCATAAATTAAAGCTGGAATTAAGAGAGCTTGAGAAAAAATTGATGGCAGAGATATTACGACCAGAAAGGGTTCTTCATTTCCTTCAGCCTGGCAGGCTGGTATGTAGGGATACTGATCCTTCTAATCCTAGGCTTATTGTTGAATTTGGTTGTTCATACTTACCTCATTCTTGCGCGTGCTTCTAATCAATTTGTGATTATGATTGTTATGATTATCCGTAAGCTTGAATTTTGTACTTTTGCACTTCGTAGTTGTATCTTAGTGTTTTAAAGAACTTAAATGGTAGTATATCTGGACTTCAGTTTGTCCTTCAGAATATAGAAGTAAAGTTACCACCTCTATTTTCACCTAAGATAGTTACTTGTTCATGAAATGGATCTACTTTAGCTTTATGCTGAAGGATGTTTAGCTAGGTGTCATGATAGATCTCAGTTCTTCTAATGCGATTCCACGTATTTCTAGAATAATTATGGCTACGATGAGGAGAGTAGTTTCTTAATCATATGCAGTTCTTAAGCCCCACCTATATGTTTACACCACATGGCTGTGTCTGGGATGTATTTAGATATGTGAAAAGTTTGATATTTCCTTGCAGTAACTGATTGATTTATACTTCATAGGGAGAATATGAATCCTTATTTGTAGGTACCAATGGAGAACTGCTTGCTCTAAGAATTATTCCCATTACGAATTAGGCAGTGGGGAAGTATATGCCATGCGTTACCTTCTTCTTAAGAATCCTACTCTTGCATTAGAGTAGTTTCATTGTAATTTTTATTCTTTTTGGCCAGCCTTTGTAGACATTCAAGAAAACTTTTGATTTCTTGTGCGATTTATATTTCTGGTAGGCGCTTAAATTTCTCTTGAATGGAACTAAAAGCATAGTGACGGTTTGATGTTTCCAGTAATTCATTCTAGAAGATTACTTTTAAATGGCTGTACTCTTTGGACCGTTGTATATAATTTAGTGCTATACGATTTCAGTTAATGGACTTGACTCTGAATTTGATCATTTCAGGAAATGTGGGCTTTTAGTCCTTATTATTAGAAGTTTGACCCGATTTGATCTCTTATAAATGTTTCGTGTGTTACTGCATGCCTATGTCGCTAGAGGAATTTAGGGTTTGTATAATAGTACAATCCTCACGGGAGCTTTATTACGCACAACTACAGCAAAAGTTTATATGGCTAATACTTAGATGTTTCTGATGGAAAGATGACTTCAGCTGATAAGTTTCAGCAGTGCCAATGAGCAACCTGTATGAGAGAACCATCCCTACTTTTCATGTAACCGGAATGTTTAGATGATTCTTGAATGTTTTTATAAAATTTTATTTGACTGTTGCGAACTGGCGTCATTTGCTTAGAGCAAAGGTAATTAATAATGGGGACAAATGTCTAAGGGTTTTTAAGCCATTTGAAGTATAACTAGAGGTTGCATATGCCCAAACGATTTGGCTTACTTCAGATGATACAGAATCATTTTTGGAGTTTACAACTTGCAAAATGTCTTTAGATGCAAAGACCTTAGACAATGTTTCAACTAGCTTTTAAATTTTAGTTGAGGGGATTTCAATATATTTCTGGCTTGGAGGAACGAACGTAATTCTAATTTTCTTGTTCTGAATTTTGTTTTCCTATTCAGAATTTGGGCAAGGTGGGAAATCCTAAATCATTTACTTTAATGAGTTTCTGAAAGAGTCGGGGATTAAGCCCTCCCGCTCTGCAGCAATCTCATTCTTTGCCACTTGCCAAAATGTTGCCCTTTCTTTTCTTCTTGGAAGTGAAGAGCATGAGGATATGGGTTATTTATATTTAGTTCGTCAATGATACTTGAACTGATTACTGCATGATATTTCCCTTTTTCTTCTACCTATATAATCAAATTATTCTATACTTTTTTTGAGTTGCAGGTAAAGGTTCAGGAAGGGGGAACAGATTGGGGTTGGGGTGTTGTTGTTAATGTGGTGAAAAAAGCCCCTGCAGTTTCCGGTTCTTTGCCTGCTGGTTTGGCTTCTATGCGTGGTAGTAGTAACTATATTGTGGATACTCTACTTCATTGCTCGCTTGGGTCAAATGAAAATGGTAGCCGTCCTAAGCCCTGTCCTCCTCGTCCTGGAGAAAAGGGTGAAATGCATGTGGTAAGTGTTTGCTGTTGCTACTGGACAAAACTCTGAATCGTTAGACTGAATGTTACGGACAATTGCTTGGTCTATGTTTGTGGCATATTGGAACACAATATCAAGTAAATATTAATCTTATGGTTTTATCCTTTAGGTTCCTGTCCAGTTGGCCCTAATTTCCTCAATCAGTAAAGTAAGAATGTCTATCCCATCTGACCTTCGGCCATTAGAAGCAAGGCAAAGTACTCTTCTTGCTCTTCAAGAGTTAGAGAAGAATCGTTTTCCTCAAGGCCTGCCAAAGCTTAGCCCTGTAAAGGTATGTCAGGTTCTGATGGTTTGCATGACTATGACAGTGGCATTGGATATTCATATGCAAAACTCTTAAACTGAATTTATATGGACACAATATTTGTCTGGTTTTTAACTTTTCAAATTATAGATTGGTGTTTTAATGAGTGATGATGTGTGCTTTAGAGTGTGTGTTGATTTTTGATTGATGTGCGACTTTTGTAAGTTCCTTCAACTCTTGCTGTCAGAGTCTCTAAATTCATTGTAATTTACTATATTTGTGTATAATTTGTGCTGATGTATTCTTTAGCTGGTACCTTTAGTTTTTCTTGCTATGTTGATATTAATGGTTGTGCCAATAATTATGTTGAGGATTTATTCTTTTGGTAATTCGAACCTCAAGTCCAAAATTGATGAAGTACTTTCCTTAATTGACCATATCTGAATACTGTCCATCTTAATCGGGAAGATTCACGTGCGAAATGCAACTTAAATTTTACGTGAGAAATGAATTACTAAGCCTATGTTGCCTGTGTATAGGTTGAGTATGTTTAGGTTTATCTTAGAAGTGTTCTGCTAGTAACTCGTTCAACAATTTTGTTTTGCAACTGTCATATAACAGAGTTGGGAATATATTGAATAATTTCTCGTTGTTGTTTTGCAACAATTTTTCCCTCGCTACCAACCAAAGTAAGAGTTTCTGTGTTGATTGCTGTGATTTTCTAATCTTTCTCTGTGTGTTTGAATTCTCTTACGTTCTTGAACCACAACATTGCACCCTCCTTTTTATCTGGTTCTGCAGTATGATTTTTCTGCCATTTCGTAGAATTACTGGGTTCTGGTGGCATACCTTTTTGATGGTGGTAGTGCTTAGACTTTTTAAGTTACTAAACTCTAATTTTAAATTTCTTTATCTGAAATTACTCAATTCATGGTTGGTTAGTTTACTTTTGCATTTGCTTTTCTTATCTGCTTCAAATCACGAGTCCTTTGGCATCCAGGAATTGTTGATAAAGCACTTGATATTTCCATAATTTGACGTTCTTTTTCCAGGAAATGGGCATTGACGAGCCTGAGCTTGTGGAGTTGGTTGATCAGGTTGAGAAACTGGAGCACCAACTACTTGCACACCCTTTGAATAAGGTATTACGTGACTGTTATTTGTATTTTCCCCCTTCGTTCAAGGGAAGGTTCAATCATATATAGCGCCAACAATATCCTGATGGTTCCACATTGTACAGTCCCAAGATGAGCAGCAACTTAAAAATTTCAAGAAAAAAGCGGAAGTAAGCCATGAAATACAACAGTTAAAGTCAAAAATGCGGGAATCTCAGGTACTTTTCATGTAGATTTATCGTGTTCGTAAAGAGTCTATATGTGCTTTTTACTTGAGATGATTTCTTTTATGTCTGTTCTTGTCTTTGAGCAAAGTGAAAGCAGAAACGTTTATTTGCAACCTCCCTTTCCTCTGTTCTCTTCGATAGCTACATTATTACTGTTTTCCAAGACTCTTTAATGGGTCTAGATAGTCTTGGAAAGGTTATCCATCTTTGATTATCGTGTTTCTGTATTTCTCCTTATTTGTGGTTGTATCAATAAGAAACTTGTACCTACTTTCACTAAACTTCCAGATTGCTTATGTCTTTTCCTTCTCCTGCCTTCAACTTCAGTACGAGAATGAAAAAAAAAAGGTTGTATATATTTTGCAAAAGAGAACATGTGACTGACAAGTTGGATTAAAAGATAAAAACTGTATCAGATCTGTCTGGCATGTAGACAGACATAATAGAGATGGTAAAATGCTCATACACGGACGGAATATGCATGCTCTGAATTAGTAGTTAGGTTGGGTTGTTATTACCTTACAGATTATGCGACTCATGAGATGCTTAGACTGCTTATTTTGTACATCCTTAAAGGCATTCACCTTAATCGAGTGTTCCTTTTTGTTATTAGCTATTTAGCTGTTCGTAACTTGCCTTTGTTACTCCTATACCTTGTGGAAGATTAATTAAGCCGGCAAATAGGTCATAGAGCATACCTTGATGCTTGCACATTTGTGGATTGTGAAATAGCTAGGATCTGAGGGGCCAATCTTTGTTTGTTTCCTATTTTCCTGGTGTTGTGTAGTTTTCCCCCCTAATTTTCAATTATATTTATCTTTCCAATACACCTGTTTACATCCCCAACAAAAAAAGGAGTTTGTTAGTTGTCAGTTGGACTTATCTTTTGTCTGTTGTGTCAGCTTCAAAAATTTCGAGAAGAACTCAAGAATCGATCTCGAGTTTTGAAAAAATTGGGTCATATTGATGCTGACGATGTGGTACAATTGAAAGGACGTGCGGCTTGCTTGATAGACACTGGAGATGAACTCCTAGTAACTGAATTAATGTTTAATGGTGAGTCTTTTTTATTTGTTTCTTACATATTAGGTTTTTGAAACTGTATTATGAACACGTTGGGAAATATGAAAGGCTTAACTTTATTTTGTGGTATATGATGATACAGTTTTGGAAATAGTTTCGGAAACTTAATCAGAGTTATTATTTTGGCAGGCACATTCAATGATCTTGATCATCATCAAGTTGCTGCTCTTGTAAGTTGCTTTATTCCAGGAGATAAATCATCAGAGCAAATACATTTAAGAGCTGAACTTGCCAAACCATTACAGCAGCTGCAGGACAGTGCAAGAAGAATTGCGGAGGTGTGAAATATTTTCACTGATGAAACTTACTCTTGCGTTTACGTTTTTCCGGGAGCTACTAATTCTTAAATAGCTTTCTCTCTGCTTTTTCTTCTTCCACACTCTTTTTTGTGGTGTTTAAATGTGCATAGTGATTTTTCTTTTCCTTCTAAAATTTTCACATATCATGTTTTTGTTTCTGTAATGTAATAGTGGTTGTGTACTTCTGCTGTTTGTTCCCTCTAAACTAATCTTCAAATTATTCAAGTTGTCATTTTTTATTGTTGGCTATACAGATACAACATGAATGCAAATTGGAAATAAATGTGGAGGAGTATGTGGAGGCATCCATTAGACCTTTTTTGATGGATGTAATTTACTGCTGGTCAAAGGTTGGTTATAGGGAGATTTACTCGATGAATTTATCCTTATTATAGAATAAGTGTGATGAACTTTAGCGTTTTAATCTTATTCGGCATATCATTCAATGAATGACATCTTTAGTTTTTGAATTTAGCTTGTGTTTATTTTATTTCAGTTTGTGCATTCTTTTTTGTTTTTCCAGGGAGCAACTTTTGCTGAAGTCAGTCAAATGACTGATATTTTTGAGGGTAGCATTATACGGCAAGCCAGAAGGCTTGATGAGTTTCTGAATCAGGTAATTTTCTTTGTGTTATGAAATGCTTACAAACATTGAAATGGGATGCTGATTTATGTATAAACTACTAAAGGTAGCATATGACATTACAGGAACAAGATATATCCTAAATGCATTATTAGTGCCTTGATATTGAATTATAGTTGCATCCAATCATCTTTTTGTCTTTTGTGTTAATCTGGTCTCTCACGCGTTGGCTGTGAGATTGGATTACTGAGTGAAACTTTGTAGATCTAAGTTTTAATTTGATATGATGTGATGTTAAAGTTGAAAGAAGCTGCTGTTGCTGTCGGCGAAGTTAATTTGGAGCAGAAGTTTGCTGCAGCCAGCGAAAGCCTCCGCCGTGGTATAATGTTTGCCAACTCTCTATATACTTGAACTCTTGGATGACAGAGCTATAATGTACTGTGTGTTTCTTAACCCTGAAATCCCATCTCCCATTTTCCAAGCAAAGGTGATTTAGCTTTGTAGGTGTGGTGTTTAGATCAACATGTAACACAACCTAGTGACCTTGAGAAAGAAGTTTGCCAAGAATCTAAAAGAATATGCCTTTAAGGAGCCAAGAGCTCTTTACCTGTCCAGGTTCAAGATGAAGGTTTTGAGTATGTAGTATTCAAAATCTTTCCTTTGCTTTTTTTTTTTTTTTGATTTTTTTTCCCTCTTTTTGGATCTGAAGTAGAGGATAGGGGATGCTGCTTTTGTACGAGTAGCGAGATTTTGACCGTTTAATTGTCAGGATCGACACGCACATTACTAGAATTGTTGGATCAACACGCACATGTTGATCTAGAATTGTTTGATTTGAAAACTTCGACTTATATCTACTTATCTACTTTTATATATATATATATATATATATATATATATATATATATATATATATATATAGTATAAATAAAAGCAAGAGCCCCCACTGCAACAGTATTTTTCGTCGTTGGAACACTCATGTAGCACAAGGGCATTATGTGCTTTCACAAGATTGTCTGAAAATTGTTAAATTCTTAGCATACTTCATAACTTTTGACACTTTAGAGTTTAAAAATAATATGAATGTATCCACGATCTTCTACATTAATGCAAAAATATCTTAACCCTATATTCTAATTAAATAATAATCCCTATATAACAAAAAAAAAAATTGATTAACTCAAGAAAGGTCTAATCATCAATTACTATACATTTTTAATTTTTCAACTTAAAATAGTAATTTACATATATTTTTGTTATAAAATAATGCAAATGAGTTTAAAAAATTTAATTACATTTTCTTTATGGAATGTCCATCTTACCTCTACTATCATTGAAAGAAAATAGATATAACCAAATCAAAAGAGATAACTGAATGAGACGATAAAAATAGACAATTATCTCAAGACATTTGAATTTAAAGAATTTGTTTGAATAACTCAATTTAAAACAAAATGAAGTCAAAATTATATTAAAATTACTAAAGTGTAAAATCTAGCCTGCGAGTAATCGCGGTCGAAAAATCTAATTATACAGTCAAATCAATCTCGTTAATGTTGTAGGTTTTATCCTTTCAAAAAGATATTGCATTTGGCTGACCATCTTAAGTTGATGTCAGTTACTACGTATCACCTTTTTTCTTCTTTTTTTTTAAAAAAAAAAAAAAGCTTTCAACAGGATTGGTCCCCAAAGTTTGGGGGTAGTTCAGGTGAGTCACCTTTTTTTTTCTTAATAAAATTAGTCACCTAAAACATGAACCACGTCAATCTCAGTATTTTTAACAGATCTTTTTTGAAACTTAACGGAATGTATCCCAAAAACGTTAAACCCCCAATAAATTAAGATTTTTTTTTTACTGCAGACCATACAAAGGTTGACTACGATTTTTTACCATTGTTTCTGATTTTTGGTTTAATTATAGCAAGGGAAACTGAAAGGAACTTTCCCAATTTTTCCTAAGTCACCAAAACACAAAAAACCAACGGGATTCCAAGGCAAGATCTCCCTTTTGCCAACCCTAAATGTCACCCGATTCATAAAAATCCGTTCAATTTCACATGAAATAATCCTTGCATCTAGCTTGATTAAATCGAAGCCAAGGGAAAGCGAAGTCTTTAAGCGAAGTTTTCGATGTCTCGACTGAGGGAGAAAACAACAACAATGATCCAGTTCCTAACTACGGTAAGTTTTATAGTTCCCATGCTTTAGTTATCATAGATTTGTTTTCGGGATAGGATTTTTGAGTGAAGTAGGGTTTTTGCATGAGTGAAAATCGACAAAAGATTTGTTAATGTGGGGTTAGGGTTCAATTTAATCTGATTTGTCTGGTTAAAGGATTGTAGTTTTTTAGAAGATTTGTAAATGTGGGGTTAGGGTTCAATTACTTAATCTGATCTGTCGAGTGGAAGGATTATTTAAGCAGATCTGTCTGGTTAAAGAGTTGCACTTTTTTAAAGCTTTGTGAAAGTGGTCCATTGAACACTGTAATTGAAAATGAAATGTAGACAGTATGTCCCTTCCTTGTAACTATTAAACTATGATTTTGGTATTGTTTATTAAAGTAATTGCATGCTATTGTTTTTAGTAAACTAATTGCAACAAGGTAGGGTCCTGATGTTGTGTATATTTTGTCATGTACAGATAGGAGTACCAACATGTTGACAGTACAGTTTTTCCACCATGGGGAAGTAGAGAAAGAACCATATCCACATTATGTTGGTGGGGAAGTAAGTGTTTATGATCATGTTGATGTTGATGGCCTGGTGCTCTCTCAGTTGCACACTATGTGTGATTCTGCTTCTGGGAACAATGGGGGAACCAAGTTTTACTCCATTTATGAGGGAGATGATGCTAATCTGGAGGAGGTAATTACTGAGGCAAAAGTGCAACAGTTAGTCAGGGATGCTTTGGCTGGGGATAGACTTCTCATATTATATGACTATCCCATCGAGACGGTAGTTGATGTACGACTGGTGATGATGTGGTCAGTGAAAGTGATATTGATAGTAGTGATGGTGACTGGGATGAAAGAGATTCTGAGTATGAAGAGGGAGAAAGTAAAAATGAGTATGATGATGATGATGATCTTGGAGGGGGTGAACAAGGGGGTGCAACTGATAAACCTTCATCATCAGTTGCTGTTGGTAAACAGAAACCACTGATAAATTACAAGTACGATGAGGGGAACTATGATGAGGATAGTGGATTTGAAGTTGAACCGGATTCTGAGGAAGACCTAGAAAGTATACAGAGCTCGGATGAAGATGTGGTAGAGAAACCATTGGTGTTTTACCCCAAAGATATGGAAAAACCACCCCTTCAATATGGATTGACATTCAGTTCAAGGAAGGAATGCAAGGAAGCAATTCGCCGCTGGAATATTAGAAGAGGTAGAAGATGGAGATTCAAAAAGAATGACAAATGGAGAATTAAAGTTGTGTGTCAGATGGCCTACATCATAAAGGATGGCAAAAAGAAAAAGATATGTGATTGGGAGATATTTGTGAGCATGTGCAGTGGATCTCCCGTGGTGACTACTTTTGTGCCTCGTCACAAGTGCAAATTCAGGCACAAGAACAAAAGTGTGACATCAACCATTGCTGGTAGGGTATGTACACAGTTGGTCAAAGATGACTCTACAATCCCAACCAAGAGATTCAAGAGGCTAGCCAAGGAAAAGTACAAGTTCTTCCTCACAAAATCACAAGCTTATAGAGCAAGACGAGTAGCATTGAGACTTGTGTATGGTTCTGTGGAAGATCAGTATGCAAAATTGAGGGATTACTGTGGGAAAATTGTCAGGAGTAGCCCTGGTTCTACTGTTAATTTGGTTCCAGATCCTTGGTTTGTGAGTGAGACTACAGGCCAGCAATGATTTTTAAGATTGTCCATTTGTTGTGCTGCCATTAGGGATGGATTTCTAGCATCTTGCAGACCTATTATAGGGTTAGATGGGACCTTTTTGAAGGGACAACCAAAGGCGTTTTACTCACAGCAGTTGGAGTTGATCCAAACAATGGAGTTTATCCCATTGCATGGGCAGTAGCTGAGGGTGAAAATTTTAACACTTGGGAATGGTTTCTTAATCTGTTGAAAAATGATTTAAAGATTGAAAAAGATAGTGGCTGGACTTTGATGAGTGACAAGCAAAAAGGCCTTATACAAGCTTGTGAAAAGGTGTTTCCAACAGCTGCACACAGGTTTTGTGTTAAACACATGCACCATAATTGGTCTGATCAAGGGTATAAGAATGAAGCACTTGGACAATTGTTATGGGCAGCTGCTAAATCCACAACTGAGAATTAGTTTATTAAGAACTTCGCAAAGATAGCCGAGTTAAATCAAGATGCAGCAGCTTGGTTGGAAGATAAACCAAAGTCAGAGTGGTGTAGAGCCTTCTTCAGCTTCTTGGCAAGGTGTGATATCCTTCTAAATAATCACTGTGAGTCCTTCAATTCAATGATTAGAGATGCTAGATCAATGCCTATAATCAGTATGCTAGATGAAATAAAAAAGATTATTGTTGAGAGGTGGTATGAAAATAGACACAAGGCTAATGGGTTGTGGAGTGAAAGAGCAGCGTGTCCTAGAATTTTTAAGAGAATGATGAACAACTCGAAGTTGGCTACAGAATGTCATCCTACTCCACATAATGAGTTCCGTGCTGAGGTTGAGGGGGGTGTACGAGATAATGGAAAATATGCAGTGGACTTGCAAGAAATGACTTGTAGTTGTAGAAAGTGGCAGTTGTGTGGGGTACCTTGCCCACATGTCATTGCAGTAGCTTGGAGTGTTGATAAAGATCCAATGGATTTTGTGGATCCCTGCTATAGTGTCCTTGCCTATCAAACTTGTTATCAGCCCACTATAAAGCCAATGAGAGGGGAACTGGAATGGGAAAAGGCACCTGGAAAACCACTACTTGCACCACTTTATGGAAGAGGTCCAGGGAGGCCAAAGAGGAACAAACGGAAGAAAACCCTTGCTGAAAGAATCATTGAGAAAGATAGAAAACAAAAACTGAGTAGGTCTGGGCAGAAAATCACTTGCAGTTCATGTCAAATTTTAGGTCATAATAAGAGAACGTGTCCTTCAAGGAAAGCCTCGCAAGGGACACAAAATGACCAAGTAGAAATTCAGAACCAAAGCATTGAGACCTTAGATAAGTGTGGGTCATGTGGAATCCTAGGTCACAACGAGATAACGTGCCCTTTCATTGAACCTGTAGATGGGGTTGTCGACCTTGCCAGCAATTTTGATGACCTTTCTAATGTGGTCCAGCTTGACGTGGACGTATTATCACAGCACAACTCGCTTGTAAGTTGACTGTAACTTTTTTTTTGGTATGATATAATAATTTGATGTTCCCTTCTAATATGTATGTGTACAAACAGGTTAAGAGGAAAGTGATAGTCCCTGATGAGGGCAAAATACAGTCAGATGATCTTAATGAAGACATCGTTGCAGTAAGACAAATTAAAGTTGGAAATATGTTTTTTTTCATAGATGGTTTTAGGGCAGTGTTACTATATAATGTTTCTTTATTTATTAAGGAAATAAAGGCTATTGAAGCTGAAGCAGCAATGAAAATAGAGCAGTTGAAGAAGAAACAGAAAGTGGTACATGCAAGTTTACTTAATTTATGTTATACTTTACGGCATTTCTGAATACAGTTCCATCTTCAGAAAATCACCCATTATATTTTGCAGTAATTTGGAATAGATGCTGGTGCAGAACAAGTGCCATTGCCAGCTTTAAGGAAAAGCCCTAGAAAAAAACTGAAAGATGTAAGGGAAAACATAATAAACCTAGTGTCATGTAGGTATGAACTTGTTGTAAACATTGTTTTACTTGTAATCAAATTTTCATCTTTTGTATAGCTTTCTGCAAAGGGGGGAAAGAGCAATGTTATTGGTGCATCGACTAGCGCATCCAAGGGAAAACAGAAGGTGTATTTCGAATAAGAATTGCAATTCTTGATCTGAAATTGTGCATTATGTTATTTATGTCTAGTGATCTGATATTGTCTTTTCCTTATTAACATTTCAGAGTATGTCTCAATCTATTAAAATTCCGAAGAATGCGCACCTGATTGGACAGGATGTTCCCAAGATTAATAGAAATGGGTTTGTTGTGATTGCTTTAGTCTATATGATGTAAGAAACATGTACATGATAAACTGACTAATGTTTATTTCCCTTTCAGAGTCTGTCACAGCCTGCAAATCCTAAACCAACAAAGTTACGGGGAAAGAAAAAAATTGTGGCTGAACCTGTAAAGAAAAGAAAGGAAAACAGAACAAAAAGTCTGGGTTTCAGCTTATTGATGAGCCACTTGATGATATTCAGGAAGAGGTATTAGTTGAAAACTTTCCTATTTTTTTCTGATCCACTTAATTAAATGTATATCCTTTCTTATAAACATGGTCATTACAAGGTATATCCCTTTTTATATTTTTCAGGGGAAAGAGCATAACAAAAACACATCTGCAACTAATGATTCAATCAAGACTTCACCTGCTACAAACACAGAGACCAATACCAGCAAATTTCAGGAGCTGTTTGGTGAAGTTGTCCCCCCCCCCCCCCCAGTATAGGGTCAGTTACTCACATAAGAGGGCTGAGATGTTAAATGTGAAGAAACAAGAAGGTATATCAACCTTGGCCATGGAGATGCAGAATGTGAAAAAGTAAGATGGTAAGGTTGATTGGACCTCACAAACCACATGTGACACCCTTGTTGAAATGACAGCCAAAGCCATAGCAAGAACTGATGAGTTGTATCGAATGTATGCTTTGGAAAAGCCTTCTTCCTCTTCGGATGGTGTGTTCAACTTTGGCATCAATCAGACCAAATTCTCTCCTGAAATGATAGCTGCCTCTATAAAAAGAATCAATGAGTTCTATGAGAAGTATGCTTTGGGATTGACTTCTTCATCTACAGTTGTCCTCAGGTCAAAGGGAATGCTACTACAAAACCTAAACGCAAAGTGATTCATCCAAGCCTTAATTTGTGAAGTTTAGGGTTGTATTCTTTTGCTAGTGGTTCCATTCCATTATTATCTAAGCATTATTTTGTGTAGATGGCTGAAACCATATATGATGGTTTTGTGGGATGCTTTGATGACCAGAAACGTATTCTGGTCCACTTTTGTACGCATCCTACACTTTTGTTATTGTAAGCCATATGACATAACTATATGATTCAATACGTATTTCGACAACTTAAATCGTGTTCTTGTGCCTTTCTTTTGTTATGAATTTACATTAATGAGAATTGCTGTTTGATTATCAAAAAAATGTCCAGTTGCAAAACTTTGAATGTGATGTGTTGGGATTTGAGAGTATTAGGCAAAGTACATTAAACACTTTCTTTACTTAATGTGGTGTTGTTTCTCAAGTATAAAGCAAAGCAACACATACGTTATTATTCACTGCTATAACATGTATTTCACCAAATAAACACATCCATTAACTTAAATTTGAATCTTCAACAAGAAGAGAAACACCTTACAACAACTTAAAGTTCAATCCTTCCATTCTAAGGAGAATGGACTTCACGAATAACACAGTACAAAACCCTACTAGCATAATACTCCCAAACATTACAACACAAAGTACAACGGTCAAGAAACTACAACTGGAACAATTTATCAAACACCTTATGCCCATTCTTCATTCTCTTCTTTAACTGAAAAAGAAGATGACAACAACCAACACCATTGCTACAGTTTGAGTAAACAAGAGCTTCTTCAAGCGCCAGATCTCTGCATCCTTTATGTTGCACTTTCTAAGCAATCCAGGGATGATTTCCTTCGATTTAGCACACATTTCAGGGTCATACTATCGAACAAATGTGCACCGATCATTGCTCTATGATTAAAGAAGTTATAAGCAATCCAGTTAGTGCGAATTCAACAATTTAGCAGTTAGGGTAAACTTACCGGATACAATGGGCACCCCCAAAACCTTCTCCCCGGGTTCCTGTCTTTCCAAGTGGTCACCAAATTTGCAATCAACCCGCAGTGGCACCTCACAACTCCGTTCTCAGCCATCTCTGATTTCTCTTCTTCCAACAGTCTTCGTTCCTCTTTTTTTTTTTTTTGCCAACAACTGGTGGTATGGAGGAGGAAGTCAACCCATTATTTATTCAGGTGAAAGGCTTTTTTGAGTGCCATTTTTGCTACAGGTTTCGCGCCAGTATGTCCATCTCCCCCCCCTCCCCTTTAGAAATGGTAAAAATCTTGGTCAACCTCCGCCTGGTCCATAGTAAAAAAAAATTTCTTAATTTATTGGGGGTTTAACGGTTTTCACAGCACAATCTGTTAAGTTGTGAAAAAATCTGTTCAAAAGACTGAAATTGATATGATTCATGTTTTAGGTGACCAATTTTGTTGAAAAAAAAAAATATGTGACTCACCTGAACTAACCCCAAACGTTGAGGACCAATCCTGCGTTATTCCCTTTAAAAAATCTACTACGTATCACCTTTGAGTTCGAGGGAGAATCAAGAGTTGGGATCAGCTGAATTAGTGACCAGCACAATTACCATTATCATTTAAGGACAATAAGAGGGAAAGAATCCGACCTAGTTCAATAATTTACTTTGTTATAGCATGTAGTTTAACTATTTTCTTTTCTTTTTTTGGGACGAAGTATAACAAATTAGCAATCCCTAGAATCCCAAACCCTAAATACAGGCAATCATCGGTCAATTCTACGCTTAATTGGCTTAAACACAACAGTGGAATGTTTTGCAACGTGTTAACCTTGTCCAACCCAGAAGGAGCCTCCGTTTCAATAATGAATATGGTAGACATAACCAGAAGTAGGAGAAGTCGTAGCTCTTCTTTATACTTCTGCTTCTCATCTTTGGGTTAAACTTGTTTATCTCTTAAAGTCGTTGCTTTAAAATGTTAACGATAGCATGAAATAGTGTACGAAGGGTGAAGATTGTTGATGAACAGTTGAACACCAACAGATGCTTTATCTTGTCGCTGCCCTGCTTGCTAATAGATTTGGCTATTAAGTTGAACCTCAAGGGCTTTTCCTTATTAACCATACATGTTAACAAAGATGGTCATCATTCCTCTACTTGCTAATTATTCTCTATTGGCGAATGCAAACCACAACCCAATTTCACTTTGGGGTTCTATGATCTTTAGTTGACATTGAAACTAACTTCTGGACTACATGTGTCATAGTATCCTAGGAAATTTTTGTGAACTGAAGGTATGAATGCCTGCCTTTTTGTCAGAGCTTCTGAACACTTGAGAAAGATTTGTTACCGGGTTAAAAGTTGAAATCTACATATCTATACACTCCCTGAACTAAATTATACAGATTCCGAGCTTTTATCTCTACAACTCAATCTTGTGGGACTTAAGTTCCAAAATAGCAGACAGAAAATCTCATCTTTTGTGGACTGCAATGCAGTACTCAGCACCAGTGTCCCTCTCGGAGTAGCTACTCTTGATTCTGATCTTCCACCAAAATGAGGTTGAACTCAACCACTTCATCTTGTCGCAGGCCACCTGGTTCTAGGTCAGAAAGATCCTTCCTTTTCGACCCTTGACCGGCTTGTAAGTATGATAACTGCTGCTATCTCCAGTAAAGATGAACAAGGCTCTCCATGTTGCAAGATTTAACCAATCAACAAGAATGGCGAGATATCTAGCAGACTAATTTATACATTTCCACCATCAGAACTACTGCAAGCTTGATTTGGTAGAACATTGTTCCCAAAATCACCATCTAAGCTCATTTGCTGGACTTCTTGTGGTGAAAGGATCTTAATGCAACGCACGCAGTTGACAAACTCTCTGCAGAACAGATAAGAGATCATACATACTTCAATTAGGCATTACCAAGCGGATGTAGAAGAAAAAATAAATCTGCATGGCAAATTTGACTTTCCCCAAGATAATAAAAATGCAGAGAAGACAGATGAAAGCAAACAAGAAAAGGATCAAAGTTGGATTTTGGCAACTTACTCCCATGGGTCGTCGCCAACCAGCAAAACATCATTCTCGTGATCCACATACACTAATTTCCAACCTATTCTCTGTCTATCCTCCAATTGACCCTCTATGCCAAACCTTCGGGCAAGATCTTGTTTCAGCTCTTCATAACCTGAATAACGTGCAATATCAATTGATCTTCCAACGGCTCCACGTTTATATACCTGCATATGACCTTCCTCTGTTAGTGCTAAAAATTTATAACAGAAAAGTTGCATAAACATTATACTCCAAATCTTTAAAGTAAATGGTCAGCAAAGCAGACCTTGGTATAAGTTCGCATTCGTGGTATTTGCGGGGCACCCCATGCGCCTCTGTTCATGAAGCTATTATCATTTATGGTGGAATCAATCGAATTAAATGCCATATCTGGAACTCCAAATGATTGAGAAACCATTGATGATGAAAGTTCTTGCTGAGGTTCCTTGGTGTTGTCATAATTGGAAATCATTCCACCACCCGGATCAAGGTGGTTTACAAAGTCTTTTCCAGATCCCATCATGCTCTTTGTAGTTACAGATTCAGGCATCATTGGCACTCCAAACTGGTTGTCAATGTTAGAACCAAATGAGACATGTCTTGGATCGACCTGGACTTCTTGACTTGCATCTCTAAACAACACTGGCTGAGAATTGAAAGACATATGATTAGTAGACTGTTGCAACTGTCCTTCATTTTGAGAGAGGCAGACTGAAGTTGCTGAAGATGAACTATCCAAATACTCCAACTGTGCTCCAGAAGGGTTAAGATATGTTTGGTGACCCATAAATCCTTGATTCTGATTCTTGGTGATATTCACAGATGGCTTAACATCAGATTTTTGCAGCAAATCTTTAACTAAACTACTAGTACCAGATATGGTATCTAAACCACTAGAGTTTAGGAGCGCTGCAGAATGATGATGAGGCAAATCATCACTCAGTCCTGTAGTTCGAGGGATCCTGCCATTCATGATTGGCTGAACTCCATTAGGACAATTGTTTGTGGATGGTGAAGTGGAACAGGATGGGATGTCATCAGTAATCCCAGACTGAACTCCACCAGCAGCCCCTGTCACTAAACTACTGCCAGCTACAGAAAGCTGATTGGTTGCAGGAGGAAGAGTTTGTCCCATCTGGCCGTGAAGTTCTGGAAGTACTCCAGAATGCTGATGCTGAAGCTTCAGTGCCTGAGGTGGTTGACTAAAGCGAAGACTATTCTGACTACTGGTTCTCGAAATTGGCTGAGGGATGGTATGAGACTGTGGTAGAGAGCTGCTGGAGGGTGTTTGAGACACATCCTGAGTTTGGCTGGAAGAAACTGGTCGGGAAAAGCTCTGAGGTGCATCCAAGAGCTGTTTTTGTGGATCATTAACAGTTGTATGATGAGGGGGTTGCTGTACCGTAGATTGTTGGGCTAAAAGTGATTGCTGCTGCTGATGCAGCTTCTGTAGGAGTTGCAGCTGGATTTGGTTCTCTGGAACATTCAAATGCTGGCTAATAAGTTCAGAGGGTTGAGATGCCAACATATTTTGCTGTTGATTTTGACACATATTTTGCGTCTGTTGTGGCTGTGATGACTGCAGGTTCTGAGGGAGGTTTCTTTGTAGCTGATGGCTAGGTGGTGGTGGCTGTTGCATAGCATTTTGAGCTTGAACCAGGCTTTGAGCCTGGAGAAGTTGAGCTTGCACTTGGCTAGCTGGCAAGGATTGACCAATCAAAGTTTGTCTTGACTGCTGAGCAAGATCAGTCAATTGGTGCTGTGGCTGAATTATTGAGCTTAGTGGATTCAGTGTAGACGAGGCAGGCAGCTTTTGGAGCTGATCAAGTTGCTGTACTTGCTGCTGGGTAGGCCTCTGGGCATTAAACTGCAATGTGTTCTGCTGAGAAACTTGAGGTGGTGGCAAACCTAATTGCCGTGAAAGATCCCCTCCAGTAAGGTTTTGTAAAACAGAACCAGGTAACGACTGCAGATAATTTGGTTGAGCTGTGTTAGCCAAGGAAGGATTCTGCTGCATGTTCATCCATTGAACTAAGCTCAGGCCAGGGAAGGCTTGTGGATCCTTCATACCAAAGTCATCACCAAGCCAAGGCATTGTTCTCTTGAATAAGCCATCCAGGTCAGATAAGTCATCATCTGCAAGAATAAGGATCGGTTCGAATGAAGCCAAAGTCTGGAAAATGTATCAGAAAAGTTCGCTAATGTGGGGGTCACATAGCTTTACTCATCAAAAACCATGGCACCCTTCAGAGACCATAAATAATATAACTTTGCCGTTAAAAGATTCACCAGTACAGACATATTATCATCATTTTTGTTTTGGGGGAAAAGTTCATCCCATGCACTTTTTCACCAAAAAAAGATTCGGACTTTAAAAATTCCAGAGTAATCACGGGAATTACTCAAAAGCAGTTCAAGTTAGTGGAGAGGTCAGCAATAGAAAAGTGGGTAGAATTGCCAACCATTGTATTTTACTAAGGAGTCTTATGAATGTTATTAGAAAGATTCAAAACAGGAAGATGGAAAAAAGAAGAAAGGAGGCGAGGAACATAGCATAATGAGATAGGTGAAGAATACTTTTCTTTACCTGGCATTCCTGGTTGTCTAGGACGCTTTGGTCTGAAGAATGAGGGAGTAGGGCAAATGAAAAATGGGGCCGTAACTGGCTCGATTTCCCAAATTGAAACTCGATTTCTTCTTTCCCCGGCAGTTGACTCATCCCAACCAACCTAATCAAGAGCATTAAGTCACGACTTATCATCAGTATGATAGGTTACAGGGGCAGTTTTCATAGTTCTTCACATTATAGAGTCTTGTTATACCTGCAAATTACGCCATTGTGAGTTCTTCCACCTAACAGGATCCAAATCACTTATGCCTGTTATTGTACCCATGTATCTGCAAAGTACAAAATGAATAATTGAGAATGCAGCCAGCAACCTCGGATGGGACAGAAAGGTAGAATAGAAACCTAGTAAACTAGGACTTTGCATCACAAGTCCCACTCATAAACAGTGCACCAAAACTGAGAAATAAAGGGAGAAAACATACCTTCTTGTTCCGGATTCCTCAGTTTCGAACATCATCCGAAACCGCATTCCAAGAGAGATTTGGTTACTGTAAGCTGCTTTGTAATACTTGGCTAAGGGGATTACAAATTCTGATGGACTAGCTCTGTTTGTATAAAAAATAAAACAAAAAAAAATTATAAAATTGCGTACTTGGATTTCCAAGATAAACGGAGGATGAAAGGTAACAACATGGACAAAGAGGAGGATTTTTCGTATGCTGATATAAAAATGAGTACCCAAAGCAAAATATTTACCTTGGATTATAAAAGATGGTGAAAGGGCTATTGTTTGCAGCAGCATGTGCAGCTGCAGCTAGGATTCCTATGTGCATACTATCACTTGATAGAACTGATGATGACAAGTTGGTTGGTTGCCTATTAGCTCGTCTAATGCCTAACAGAAGCTGTTGTTTTTCATCCCTATTGACACATAATGTGAATTGAAAGTCAGAAGCAGTTCGATCAGAAAAAAAGAAAAGTGAAACAATTTGACAGGAGGTATTTCCAGGATTTTAACAGAATGTCCAAAAGATACAGTTAAACCAGTACATTCCAAGTCATAATCTGAGGTTTCACAGAAGAGCCAAACAAATTAACTAAAACTTTTAAAAAAAAGACCATGATTGAATGTCATTACCTGATAAATAAGACTGAATCACCCGCAAAAAGCCTCTTCCCACTGACAAAAAGACTCCATCCAGTGGTAAGCAAATGACGCTTAGGCTGCCCTGCAATATTAGAAGAACAGGTTGGAAACCATCAGCTGAAACACAGGTCAAGAAACACAAACTCCTTTACATCCAAGCATAAATATATGAAAGCAATTGACTAATTGCTACCAGAAAATGATGTGCAACCAACAAAACAGAACCAAACGAAACCTACCACGATAGATATGACGGAATGTCCATACAGTGTCATGGAGATCCCTGGCCACGAGTTCTTGGGCAGGTGGTTGCATAGTGAAGTCCTTTAAAAAAAGTGTAAATCTTAATTACAATTAAGAACAAGTAAACTACAAACACCAATGAAAAGAAAAGGGAAAAAAGAGAGCGAGAGGATGCTATCCATTACCAGGGGTGGAAAAATCTTTTCTGCTGCCCGCCGTGGAACCGAGAAACCTCCATGGGTGCTTGTATCACTAGCTGTCAAAGTCTTACAGAAAAATTCTGTTTGCGGTTTATTAACCTTCGTTGACAAATCTGACCTCAGCAAAGCATCTTTGTCAAACTGCCAATACAACGAGCAAAAATTCGATTCTTCAATTTTAATTCAAAGAACATGATGGCCATTTTTTGAAAATTTTGGCCATTTTCTTTCAACTAATCAAATTCCTGTTGCTGAATGAGTAAATCTTATTCTGCATAAATGCCCATCAAACCAGCTAGGTGAAAAATGAAACCCCAAACATGTCCTTACCGAAGGCACTGGTTGGAGAGTCATTTGGGCATACACCTCATCTGTTTCAGGATCCGCCTGGAGAGGAAATAGTCAAAATGATCAAGTTTAGTACGTGATTGATTTTCAAATTCAAATATCTAAACTTCATGAAAAGTTAGTCAGGCTGTACATGCAGGGTCACATTATGCAGGAGGCACAGCAGCTTTGAGGGAAGATTAGGGTAGTTTGGTATTTGAGCATCAACATCCTTTTTCATAGATGCTGCAACCTGAAAATCACACATTGTTAGTAAATAAATGTTTCCTTCAACCCCTTCCTCTTTAGAAACTGCAATTAACATATGATTAAAACCAAGAGTGACGTGCATTTTGTCCAAGAGCGTAAGCCTAATCTTTAAACTTCAGTACAGGTTTACTGATTGAAGCAAAAGTGGCTGACACAAATAACACAGCAATGCCATGAGAACTAAGGCAAATCTGTACAGTTGAAAATCGAGAGCCCCAACATTTAACATCATCCGGACTTCAACTTTTTTCAGTTAACATAGTCCTAAACAGTCCAGTTCCTTACAACACGTGTGAATTTCTGTAGTTACATTCCAAGGGGGTCCTTACATGTGGAAGTTCCCAACATCATTTCTAAAAGTAATAACAGTTTCAGGGCTTTTCTTTTTCCATTTTTTCTTTATAATTGAGCCTTCCACACCATTTGAAAAGCTGAGGTACTTAATGGGGAAAGGCCATGTTTGATCAACTAAACCATCCCCCACACCCACCAGACAGCTTATCTTCCTTACTCTTCGGGGTAAAAAAATAGAAACCATGAATAGGTGAATTGATTACAGTCATCGAAAGCAAACAAAAGTTTAATTTAGTTTTGAACCATGAATAGGTAAGCAAGATTGCGTTGTTGCTTATATCCATGAAAAGAGAATGTGCCACATATAAATAGGTAAAGTAGTTAAAGAAGCCCAAAAGGCATAATATAGATTTCCCTTCTTAACGATGAAAGCCCGAACATGTGACTCAACCATTCCATAACAGTAACAGATGAGGGTGTCAAATCAGTTGAAACCTAAAAAGCACATAATATTTGCAACCAAACAAGCAATTTACATGTATCAATTGCAAAAAAAAAATAAAAATAAAAATTACTGAAATTAAACACAACCCAAAAAAAAAACACACCAAAAGAAAAAAGAAAAATACAAAGAAAGGAACAGCAAGACCAAAGGGATGATGGACCTGTTCACTATGGCCTTGAGGGAAGTAGACAACGTGGGTCCCAGCGGCCGGCAAGTTTACCAGAGGACCAGCGCAAGCTTGCCATAGCTCTGGATTAATACTCTTCTTCTCACCTGTCAAATAATTTCCCCCCATTCATTAATTGCCACGTCTCGCCATCAATGATCTTCGGACAAAATAAATTTTTACCCAACAAGGATTGAAGAAACGAAAAAGGTAGAATTTAACCCGAAAAAAAGGTCCTCTAATTAAGACACACATTCTTTAAATTTGATATACGGACATCAAGATGCAGCATAAGAACAGTAGAATATCGACAAGCCCGCAAAAATGTTTGGCCAAATTTACTCAGAAATCTTAGTAAATCTAAGCCAAAAAATCTTCCCTCATCTTGTGATTTCCGATTGTCACGGTTACCAAGGTTTGCTGAAATCTTCAGATGGGAAAGGAATGAGATTGACCAAAAGGATACTGACCTTCCGAAGGATTGGCCATGGCCGTAGCTGACGGAGCTCCGGCGCCGTTCGCCGGCGACTTCATAGGTAGTATTTATTGGTGATCCTTTTTACTATTTCAGCTAAAATATCAATGGTAGTATGACTTCAACCAGAGACTCATTTCTTCCACTTGACGAATCGGAGCTCTGATGCCAACTCCGGCAACTTCAGCAAGCTAACGAAGTGGTATTGATCTCAAACATAAAACGAAAAATTGTCGCCCAAAAAAAAAAGCAGTAATCTAGCTCAATAACAAAACCTCTGAAAGATAAAACTTTTCCCTCTCCTTCTCAGCAGGAATAAAGAGAAGAAGTTTTACTAAGAACAAAAAAGGTCTTTTTTTTCCTCCTAAAAGCAAAAGGAAGGCAAAAATGGAAGTCCTTTTCAAGTTAAAAACCAAAGAGAAGAAAAGGGTCTCAGCTTAGCTTGATACAGAAGATTTTCCTGGCCGGTTCCCGGAGGAAACAAAAAAATCCCGGCCCAGTGGCCGTGGCCGATACCGGAAAATGGCAGGAGAGAGAAAAACAGAGTATATATCGCAAAAAGGAAAGTGGAAGGAAAGAAGAGGGGAAGAGGGAGACAAAGGAAGCTTTGGAAAAGGAAGGGATGTTGAGGATTGCAGAGACCAAATTGAAAAATGGTGCTGTTCTCACTTTTTAATTTGCCCCCTCTTCCACACTACACTCCCCAGACACACACGCACAACACCCAAAAACACGCACTACCCCAGAGAACCCAGAGAGAGCTTCCCCCCTTCTTCTTCGACCTTCTCTCTCTCTCTCTCTCTCTCTCTCTTTCAAAAAATAAAAACACCTTTCTCTTTATTCACACACACACACACACACATACGCACCCCGTTTTTCTTCACAGCAAGACTATAATAATACTACTAAGTTCTCTGATTTTGTTTGTTTGTTTCTTTTTATTTGGGCTTATCAAAGTTTTCAACTTTCTTGGGTAATCTTGTATACTCTCTTTCACTATTTTGAGGCAGGGAGGAAAAAACAAAGCATTTTTTTACTATTAATATTTCATTAAAAAACAAAAGTTTCCAAATTTCTCCAAAAACAAATTGTGGGTTTTTTGGAAAGGAAAAAAGGAATTGTTTAATTCATTCATTCATGAATCTTTGTGCGAGGGGGGGTGTGTGTGTGTGTGTGTGTGTGTGTGTGTCTTAAATTGAGGATTTTTATGGGACTCATGACATGACTATGGCCTTCTTCATTAAGTTTGACCCCATTGAGGTTAAAAAAAAGTAAGTATGATGAATTCTTAATGGATTAAGTAGTGTAATTATGATTACTGTCCCTTACTGTTCAGTGCGTCAACCATTGTCTGTTTTACCCCTCCTTTGTAATAAAGTGGGTCCACATGTCGCATTTGTAAATTTTGATGTAAAAAAAGTTATTTTCATAAGATAAAATGAAAATATAGCAGTTAAAAACACTTGTCGACTTACCATCCTGTGGAGTCAAAGCAATGTCGACTTTGGCCTGAGTCAAAGCAAGAGTGATGTTAGGGAATCCAAAATTGGTATAGAAAGAAAAACGATAGAGCGAACATAATTTTTAGTAAAAGATGGAGTAGTTTACAGGTAAAAGTTCTGAAGAAACAGAAAGGGGTTTGAGAGCAAGTAATGTCGATATGGAGATGAGAAAATAAAGGTTACGAGGTTTTCAATTTTTTTTTTCCCCATCATACATGAGTTTATTATCTACATAACATTTACACTAATAAACGTGTATCCCCTGAGAAGGCAACTCCACAACATCATATTGGCTCTATAACATTATTCTTTACATAGAAAATTAAATTATTGAAAATTTTATTATTTTTTGATCGGGACTTAGAGCTAAGAAAAGTTATACATTAAAAGAACAGTTGCAAAATTTCACCTCGTGGTAAACTTAATTTAGAGATTTCACTCCCCAACAAACTATTTCTCTAATTTTATAAATTAACTCTTCACAAATCTGAGATTCGTTGTTGATTCTCAACTTTATGTTCTGAGTTCTCACAACACTATGAGGTTCTAAATGTAAAAAAAAAAAAAAAAAACATTCATATTTCTCGTGTCTGTTAACTTAATACTCTCTCTGTTCCAGAAAATAATTCAATTTTAGAAAAAAAAAATCTAAAAATTGGGCTTATCGGTTTGGTATAATCTAAAATTAAAAAATAATCCAATCTCATAAAGGAAAATCTGAAAATTGGGCTTATCATATTGATATAATCTAAAATTTATTCCTAAATTGATTAAAAAAAAATTATAAAACTTCTATTCAATTGTAGAGAAGTGTTATTTCCGAACAGATAATTTTGTTTTTATTTTCTTTTAAATTAATCTATTTTGTTAAACTAAAATAATATAACAAATTAAATTCTTTTTTTTTTGGGTTTTATGAGACGAAGTGAATATAAGATTTCATTTGATATTTTTATGTAACTAGTTAGGGCACATCACGTTCGTCACTATTTATATCACGTAATTAATATGCATACTATTGGCATTATAGACAAATTGTAACTGTTTTTGCGCCGTTTTCCTGATTTTTTTCCTTCTTCTTTCATTAAGATGTGTCTACGGGGGAAACAATAATTAAGCAGCCGGAAGCGTAATTAAACCTCAATGGAATCGAAACTTTTAAGGAAAATCAGAGGTAATTTGTTTGTAAACTACGTAAAGTTGTTTTCGATCAACGGATCTACGTTGATAATCAACTGTATCTGGGTTCTGAAATATTGGATTAACTTTGCAGTTAAATTGAATTTGGACATGTCCGATAATGACTAATACTAATATTGATCATCACTAATCCCTTTCATTCTTAATTTCGTCGAACACAACAACGACTCAGTCAATTATCAAAGTCGGAACTTAAGTCTGAAACATTGCGAAAAATTGGAGTATAACGTAGGTACCAGTGAAATGTAAATTCAGTATATAATGAGATTGCGGTCTGTCTTTTTGTATATGGTACATGAATAAAAAGGCATTTCATTAGATCACCTTACGTTTCCTGTTAAATGTTTTCTCTTAAATAGTGAATTATACTCTCCGTCCCATAATTATTGTCCCGTTTTACTAAAATGAAATATTTTATTTTTTGTCAAACTTAACTATATTTTACCTTGAACAACCGGATATACCCCTACATAAGTAATTGTTTAACCACTAAGATTTTATGGATAGTATTTTTTACTAAGGACAAATGTGTAACTTGATCGATAAAAAGTCAAATTTTTGAACAATAATTTTGGGACAAAATTTTTTGGGTAAAGTGGACAATAATTATGGGACAGAGAGAGTATTTATTTTCAAACTCTGTCGTAAAAATTAATTTTCGTATAGAAAACAACAATGATGGAGTAGTCATAAATTATCATCTAGTCCTTTCCTCATTGAAGAGGCCATATATCTAAACCGCAAGCAGAACGTGAAGTAGATTAGGGGTCGGGAAAAATGGAGTAGGGGGGGAGGAAATGGCCATACATCCCCGACCAAATGACCATCACTGTCACACTCTTTTGCCCACCTGACCTCTTTGCTCTCATTGATTGAAGATAACGACCAAAATCAATAATGGTTTGGGCAAACCTTCAAAGTTGAAGGTTGTTTTCGTTCTTTGTATTGTTGTTCATGGGTAAATTTTTTGTTTTTTCTTTTTTTTTTTGTGCTAGCTGGTGCATTTTTTTCGTTGTTTCCTTTTGTTTATTTATTTTTACTCCGTCAAACAACTTTTGTATCCAACTATAATGAGACCCTCTTTTCCGGTTGAGCCATTTTCAAGATGGACATATCATTATTATTGTTATTTGTATTATATACCCCGGTGTCTGGCATCACAAGTGTCCCAAATAATTTGAATTCGGTCAGATAAATACGTTTTTTTGCAGAAATCAAATTCTTTTAACAAATATTAACGCTCATTTCGATATCTTTAGACTTTGTAACGGCGACATGAACTGTTAACAGATTTTAATGGACAAAAAAGAAAGGTTTTTTCTAATCTACGTTATTACTTATTTTCTTTCTAAAGTTGTCATAAAAAATACAAGCGATAAATCATATTTATTAAATAAAAATAATGCGAGAGACTCTTTTTTAGATTGGGAGAGTACAATGTACTTGGAAGGGTACTATGGCATGTTTATTTAATTAGTCCAAATTTACGTACTCCCTCCCTTCCAAAATTATTGTCCACTTTACCAAAAAAAATTATCCCAAAATTATTATTCGATTTGACTTTTTATGAATTAAGTTACATATATACCCTTTAATCAAGAACAATGATTTAACTGAAACTTTTCTTTTCTGGTATTCTCCATTGCACAACATACTGTATAAATGACCTACACATGAAACAAAGGCTAAACTCTAACGGCCAAGCGGTGGTGAGATGGGGTTCTCTAGTTATCGCAAAAAAATATACAGAAGAAATTCCAACAAAGGAAACCGTAAATCTTGCCTAGACCGAAATCGCAATCGATCAAGTCAAAGGACATCCTGGCGAAACAGAATAATCGGATGGATGGGCGTCAAATTGAAGTTCACAGTATGAAGTTTCTCCAAAATAATCAGATGGATGGACATCAAATTGAAGTTCACAGTATGAAGTTTCTCAAAATTCGAGTGAATTCATTGAAAATTTAGATCTATAAAGCACATGTGATGGCCTTATCGGTGGAAGTTCTATTCGATCTCTGCCGACGAAAAACTTTTCGGAGAAATAAAAAAAACTTATATTCATTAAACCGCAGAGTAATAAGATTCTCCAAACTCAAAGTTTCTCAATTGAAATTTGGTTTAGTTATAGTTAGGTGTCTTACTGAAAAACATATGGATATAATGTTCTGCCGTTATGAAATTGATGATGACTTCAATTTGGGGGAGCTAGACTAGAGTGAAGGGAGTATAGAAAGTTCTTTCGGTGCGTCAGTGTAACCAATTATGTAGGGGTACATTTGGAAACTTGTGTCAATATTTTGTTGAGTTTGACCAAAAATAAAATCTTGAATCTTAGTAAAATTGGATAATTTTGGGACGGAAGGAGTATTATTTTTAGGATAGTATGTAGGACTCTTACAAAAACAAAACCGATTGTAAGCAGTATAAATCTAGGCGCTCAACCTTGTATGTTAACCCTACATCACAAAATTAGACTGACGAGAATATGTAATGGTTTAGTCATTACTTGTGTATATGCGTATATATTGGACGTAAAATGAATAAATCATGTGTATTTTTTGAAAGTATCTTTTGCTTTAATCAGGAAGAGATATACTCCCTCTGTCCCAAAACTAAATGATATACTTCCTTTAAAAATGAAAATTCAAACTGGACAATAATTATGAGACGGAAGGAATATTTATATTAGTTCGACTTTTCTTCTGAAAGTATTCCTGCGAAAACAAGAAAAACATTCCTACGACTTAGTGGAATGTGACCACTGCAACATTCTCATAAGACTGCTAGAAAGGCATTGAGGTGGTCCTATTTAGGGGTTTTTTTTTTTTTTTTTTCCGAGCAATTGTTAAATGACATTCTAGGAGCTTTTTAGGGTTTCAATATGGAAAGGAACACGACTCAGTCCTTTTTCTTTTTCTTTTTATTTTTGAAAGTATCTACTCTCTAAATAAATGAATTAGACCATCGGTCCATCATCTTTTCTTAATTTTATTTCCTTATAAACTCATCCCTCCATTTCTTAAAAGTAGTCCACTTTTTCGTACTTTTTAACTCAATAAAGTAACTATGTTTTTTTTTTAAGTCCGAATATCTATTTAAATTCCCATCAAACCAATATTTAAATTTTGCTGGATATCTAGAGTTGGACAATAAAGTAACTATTTTTTATGAAACGAGGAAACAACAAATAATGTTCCTTAAAACAATTAACGACTATTCATAATTTGGAAAGTTTTTCTTTAAATATAAATTGTAAAATGTGAGATATAATTCAAACACAAAGTTTAAGTAACATATCAATTATTTTTCTTTCCCAAAACAAACTCCATATAGACTTGTTTGTTAGAATATAAAGAATATGTAAGTGTGAATTTTTAACACTCTTAGCGATCTCGGACTAGGTAAGGATTTTGAATTGATTCTGATGCAGCCGGAAGCCTCCAATTATAAACCTAGAAATCGTAACTGTTAAAGACCATTGATTCGATGCATGAATGTCTATGAATTAACTTTCCTAGATCCGTTGATCCT